CGTCCATGCCTACTTATTTTATGATTTTAACCATAATTTTCTCTGTGAATTTGATCATGTGGTAAACGTGTTAAATATTATTTAATTTTTATGTTAGAATGCAAATCTCTCCATCAAATATGCGCAAAGCAAAACGTAACTGTTATCAAATAAAGTCATTATATTCACATAATATGTTAATTTTGTTCGCATAAAAGTAAAGAAGCAAGGAAAAAATATCAAAGCATCTTTCATATTTTGCTTACATTTATCAACGTTAAATTCGTTTTCTTTCGTTTCATAAGAATGTTTGACGTCACGAGTTTAAAATATTTCGAATGTTGTTGATTCAACGACTACCTAACGATTATTTTAAGATATACGTATATGTCACAGATCCACGCTGCAACTATATTATGGTTGTAACATGAATGGGTCGGCTCGACCGGGGTAAGACCACGCTCTCACAGAATACAAACGTTAAATATCAGCTTAATGCTGCTGTGTTTCGTTTTGTGAGTGAAAAGATCTGGTAACCCCTTCTACTGGAAACGAGGCGTTCTGTTCGAATATGACAACGAATCTGCATTTTGATTTTTAATCGAGGATACATGTAGATGTCTATGGGCCGCAGCACCCAATTACCACCAGGTGGACTGAGTACTCATTTGTCACCCTTATTCTATAAAAAGTCGATAATTTTCACGCAAGATAGCTTATTATTTTTAAAAAAGGATTTCCCATAATTTGATCACTTTCGTGTAAAATAATTGTTTTTATTTATTTGAGGTTAGCTAACCTTAATGCTCTAATTTGTCAATGAACATCCATAACAAAGTATTTTTAGACACGTTTAATACGTAAAAATATATGGAGTAAACACAGAAACCGGTATGGTACGATTCATACTCGAATAATCAATTTCTTATGAATGGTTCACATAAGCTCGACCGGTTTTCTTTCCTAATGATTAAGTTGAAAAGAAGACAACATTAATGTGACGAATGACCTCTTATTTTAAAATTCTTTAATAATTATTTCAATCAACTAAAAAGATAAATACAAATTAAAAATCTTATTTATTTAAAGCTTTACCTTACAAAACAAGTTGTTAAGGTGTAAGTTATTTAAATTTACTGTTAAAATTAAAATAGTAACTTTCCTTACTTACAAATAGCACTATAGTCCCTCAAAGAAAAATTTTATCTAGCTGTCTTAGAAACTTATTACTTCATACTTTTGTTACCGATACATTCGAACTAAACGTCTTTCGTAATGCGTACAGTAAATGAATGGAATAATTTGCCGGCGTCTGTCTTTCCCTCCAATTACAAGCTGAGCGTCATAATAAGTAAAAAGAAACCACTTATGAAATCACCGCGGTATTTATCTTACTCGTACTTAGTTACTTAGTCTTTGAGCGAGAAAAGAGCCAGTCCTCTTGTCACCACCAGCGACTAGTCGCGGATACAGTTCCTTTAGGAAGTTCACCGCATGTGTAACCCACAGATGTATAGTCTCTACAGCAAACGGTACAAATGTAGTCATGAGTCTAATGCTGCCCCGGGTTTAAACGAGGTAACCCTCTTAAGATACCACCAAAGTGTGTCTACACGTACCATCCAACAGGTAATGCTACAAATATTAATTGATTGCAATATATACATAGTTTTACTTTTTTATTTTATTTTGATAAAATAGTATTAGATTTCACAGTCTTACTTTAATTTATTACCTAACATATACGAGCGATTTTAATCTATATCATTGGCCATATGATTGCCACCATAAAATACAGACATTTTATTTACGTGTTACCACAGAATAAATAATAGTACAGGAAGTGTTAATCGACTAGATTCCCGGCTTAGGCAAATGACTTAATATTCCATGAGTTCTACTTATTAATTAATATAAATAATATAATAATCTTGAATATTGAGTTCATTTGCGACGAAATTAAAAAATTAAATGCATCTTTAAAGTGTGTTCTACGTGAAATATTAGTGTAGGGGTACACTAAGATTTTCTCCTGTATCGTGGAAGAACATACAGAATGGCAATAATTATTTGTAGACCATACAAATACTTGTTCCATACGGGATTCGACCCGCAACACTCAGTGCCGTAACTCTATATTCTAACCCACTGCGCCGAAGTTCTATACTCTTAAGCCGAACGTCCACCGCAAACTAAACTTAGTTTATCTTAGCTCGCATAGATGAGCCAGTTTTTCATACATGTGCGTTCACCGCAAACTATTCCAGCTAAGCTGCATGTATGAAAAACTGGCTCAGGTATACGAGCTAAGATAAACTAAGTTAGTTTAGTTTGCGGTGGACGTTCGGCTTAAGCCACTGCGCCACAGAGCCGTCAACATACCTACTTGTGAGCAATTGAAATGGTGTATAATATTTTGAATAACTTCAAAAATATGAATGCTAGATTAATCAATAAACAAATTGTTTAATATCCGTATTTAAAGCACAAGCTTGTACTGTTATTTATTCTGTGGTGCAAGAAGTAAAGAAGCAACCTTCATAACTATTATTGCTGGTCATAGGTGTATGATTGCCGTCCCTTCGGACTATTTGAATAAAGGAATAGAGAGTGCAATGCATTAATCCTGTCCTGTGTATAGTATAATCCTGTCCTCCATTGACACTGCCGTAATCGAAATTCGGTCTCGACTGCATTATTAATATTAACCCTCTCACATACGAAAGAACATCTAGCACTGCAGTGAGATTCACATAGGCTACAACTTTAATGTTTTTTTTTTCGTGATCTATTTGTGAGAGTGCCAACATTTGTGCAATTATAAAAATTGTTAGTTTTAAGGTTTTATCATATTGTGATTGTTCCCGTGTCTCCGAAACTGGAGATTAGCCTACTTTTAATCTTATCGTGATATAATCATTATTTTACGTGAAATAAGGGAAATAGGTCTATTAGGATGAGTGAGTGTTGTTATTATTTGATGAGCATACACTATTGTAGCACTGCACTTAAGCTGTAGAAAATATTTTAAAACTATCACTGCGGTCAGAATCGTCTCGGAGAAAACCACAACACGAATTCAGATAACAGTCTAATTTCAGTTATATAAATTTCATTAGAAGTTAAGAATGTTTTGCTTTTTGTGTTAATATTATTGTATTGCTACATTTTGTTTACATTGTGCCTTGAATTTAATGCTGAAATATTTGTTAATCAATCGCTCTACATCAGGCACTGCCACGCCTCGTTTTATCATTTTTTTTAAACAATTTGCAAGAAATCGGTGTTATTAATGCATATAATTGGTGTAAATTACATTCAAATTATGTATATGCGTGATGAAACTTGTATAATTATTGATGTTTTAGTAAACTTCACGCTATAGAAATTAAATCGGCGACGCCCTGTATTAAATCACTGCCTAGTCGATTACGTAAAAACGTTTATTATATTCTCGTACACACTTATATACGAACACATATAAACAATTATGCGATAAAACACATGTTTGTATGTAGCTGTGTTAACTATATTGTTTTTTCCAACTCATTTTCACTATGCAATTTTTGACTGCATCGTTGATAGTCCTAAGCTTTACTGCTGATTATGTGGTCCAGGGTTCGAATCCCATATCGAAACAAAATCAGTGCACTATAATCCAGTTCTATGTCCGCCGTTATCGAAATTCGGTTCATAGGACATTGTAATTTATTTAACTAGAAATATTTTATGAATATTTATTCAAAACGTTGTGGGTTCAAATTAATTCACATAAATTTCGAAAAAGTTTGGAAACATATTTAAAAGCTACTTTACGTAACATAAATCTGAAAGTAGGTACTCGTAGCAAACATAATATACAGGGTTATTTTTCAAACAGTATCCAAATTTTAAACTTTAGTTCAAACATATAAATAATGATATAAATTTATTACAGTTTTTGGAAATACGAGTAAATAAGGCTTCTACTTTTATTTGAAATTATCCCAAACTGGATATGATTTATGGCCAGCAACGTTTTTGCCTACCGATCGACCCAACCTTACGAATGTGTGAATGCGCAGTAAAATCAGATAAAATAGTGCATTACCACGCATTTTGAATTTAAAAGATAAAAAGGACAGAATGTTTGAGATTCTTTCATATATTTTTCTTAACCATTTGCCTATACTACTTATTCTAAACATTCTCTTTGGCCGGTTATTGCAAATAACCCTGTATACTATTATATGTTTATTTATATATATGGCATTTCTGCCACGCTGCCCCAACGCATGTCGGATGACTTAGCATATTCTCCAATATATAAGTTTAAATTTCTTAGACTCCCCACGACGTTTTCTCGTATTGTTCGTTAAGCACGTGGTGAATCGGCACTCAAAATAGCTATTGACCATTTCATTGATTCTTACGGTTACAGAAGTTGGGTTGCTGTCGTATGAAATTTGAAATTAGAAGCAGGCACGTGTTTATTCTCTTACCTACTACATGTTATAAAAATAAATTCATAATTATAATTTAAATGTTGCAGAACTACACTTATTATTCCTTACTGGAGGCAAGAGATGCAATTGCTTTTTTATCAGTAACCTTCATGGGCGTGTGCACCATAATGCACCAAAGTTTTATCGTAATGAGGTAGATGGTATAGGAACGCATAGAAAACAGATAAACAAACAATTTTTCATTTTTTGCGAAAAAAAAATTCGCGGGCGCACAAAATAGCACAAGGTTTAATCGAATAGTAATAGAAAATAGGAATGACATAAAGTTAATTTTGGATCCTATATACGTGTCTCCACTGGGCATAGGCCTCCTTTCATTTCTAAAAAGGTTTTAGAGCAAGGAAGTGTCCACTCACTGCCCTAATGTTAGTGGTTTTCTTTCCATATTTTCAGTCACCACTGAGCATGTAAAAATCAGCGCTTATTGTTGTAATTCACTAATCGATTGGTGACGGCGATAATCGAAGCCGATAATGGAGGACGTTTTAAACACAAAGCCTTTTTTTCCTCTTTCAGGTATTCCTGCGACATTAAACTACATTCCTTTGGACGCTCCCCACGAACAATCACCAAAATTAAACGCCTACCCAAGTTATAAAGGCAACGAGTTGGGTAATTGTGAAACCGGGTTGACCACCGTATATAGGATCAAGGCGGATAAATGCGATCGACTCTGGGTTCTCGACGTAGGAACGTATGGATATGGTGAGTGTATTTTTATTAAATGACATTTCGAAAAAAAAAACTTACGATAAGTACTCAAAAATTGATTTAATATTTTTTTTCAGATCCTAATGTTACCAACTTATGTCCGTATGCTTTGAATGTGTATGACTTAAATACGGATACCCGAATTCGAAGATATGTTTTCCGTCCTGAAGATATCCTCCCGTCAACTTTTATTGCCAACATTGCTCTTGATGAAGGAGCTACTTGTGACGATACCTTCGCATACTTCTCTGATGAGTTAGGATATGGTCTTATTGCTTATTCTTGGCAGGAGAACAGATCCTGGAGATTCAGTCACAGTTACTTTATGCCCGACCCACTCGTCGGAGACTTTAATATTGCTGGCCTCAACTTCCAGTGGGGAGCAGAAGGAATTTTCGGAATAACAGCCTCTCCTGTTGGCTCAGATGGTTTTAGAACACTTTATTTCAGCCCTCTATCAAGTCACACAGAATTCTCTGTTTCCACGCGCATTCTAAGAGACGAAAGAAAAGTGAAAGAGGGATCTTTTAATGATTTTAAAGTGGTCGGTGTACGAGGACCTAATGGCCACACCACATCCAAGGTAATGGATGATTCTGGAGTTGAACTATTCAATCTAATAGATCAAAATAGCATCGGCTGTTGGAGTTCTTCCCTGCCCCATAAACCACAAAATATTGGTGTTGTAGACAAGGATGATGTTGGTCTGGTCTTCCCCAGTGATGTTAAAATAGATGAAGATAAGAACGTTTGGGTTATTTCGGACCGTATGCCAGTGTTTTTAGAAGCTGAATTAGACTACAGTGACATTAATTTCAGAATATACACAGCCCCTCTTTATAATCTTATTCAGGGAACCGTGTGCGAGCCGTCGTCACAGTTTATTCAAACATCCAGTCCAATGCCAATGTCAAATACTAGAACAGTCGGACAAACCCCGTTATACGGACTTTCCCTAAAAGCGCCTTCCACTCCTGTTCAGACTTCCTATTTTTCTTCTTTTCCTCTTAACGCCCAAAAGATAAAGTCATACAACCCAGCTTCTTTCAGTGTTACCCCAAAGTTAGCCTTTCTCGATATGCCAAGACAAACATCATATTCTGACATTACGTCAAACAAAGCTGGCGTAAGCTTCTTTAACAAAACTCCTTGGTGGTCGAAGATAAACTACTAAATACGTGAAAATATCCAACAGTAGTACCAAAAATAGCAAATACATAGCAATAATGTGTGACAGTGTATTGGTATGATATACTTTCATACTCCGCAAGCTTGTTATCTTGTAAAATGTTATATTGTAGTACATAGGCTATAAATAAAAAGATAGCGCTCATGTAACTGCTTAGTTAACACCTTGTTTTATAATTCTTTTATTTTTGTTAAGCGTCATTATAGTTTGAGAACTTAAAATTGGTCTGCATGCAGTTTGTTTGTTGTGTTTTTTTTTGTGTACATTTCTATGTATTACATTTTGTATTTGCTTATGAGCGGGCGTATGTTGTGTAAGAGAGAATAAGAGAGTGTATGTTTGGTTACGCGTGTATGATTTATATTATTGTATTTACTTTTCTGTATTTATTTTAATAGAAAATTCATACATAATTATGTTCAAAATTCATTTATAAAATTTTACTCACAACTGATAACCGTTATGTGTTTTTAACAAAGTAATGTACAGCTATGCCATATTTTATGAATTCATATTTATCTTGTCATTAGTTCTATATACTTTTAAGTGTAATTGACAAGGTCATTGAGTTATATACTAAATAAAATGAAAAAGCAAAAATGTGTTGTTTTTTATTTAAATAATACAATATTTTTTAAAACATATGCTACTAGTGTGAGATAGTGGGTTATGTACTGGGTTATGAGTTTATTATATTATTAAATCGATGATGAAATTCTTTAATTTAAATTTTTAAGCTTTATTTCTACTTAATAAGTAACACCAGCCATCATTACATTATTTTTAACTTATATTTTTGACATTTCTAGTAGAGGAGCCCATGATGCTAAATGGGAATTTACTCGAACGTCGTGGGTACCTATTACATTTTGTAGATTAGTGTAGGAAACATTGAATAAGTTCTTACTTATTCAATGTTTCCCTTGACTTCTAGTGGTGGGGGAAGCGTCTACAGATTTTCAAAATGTAAACACTGCTACAAACTACTATATATATTCAATAATTAATTCCAGCGAGCCAGATATTCAAAGGATCCCCTTAAGTGAACCCCAAAAAAGTTCCCATTCACAAGACTGACGATTCGGAAGCGACGCACTGTTCTTAGTGAATTTTTAAAATTGTGCAAAAATGACCATATTGAAATACTCGAGTGTATCTGATTATTATACAGAAGGGTCAGCTTGAGGTCCCAGTTATGGTAGCTTAAAATCTGACGATTATTTTGAGCGATATTAATAATCTGACTGCTAGAAATAGTTTATTTAAGAATTTTATTACGAACTTTTTTCTCAATAACCATAAAATGTGACTGTGAATGGGTGGGGATGGCACGAGAGAGTCAGAGATAGGGAAAAAGTGAAAGATAGAGAGAGGCGCGGAGTGGCGTATACATGCTTTACTCCAGCTGCACGCTTTGCAGAGTTTTAGTATTTCGGCTTGTGGAAATCAACAGATTGTTTTTTTTTTGTTATTTTTACATTATTTCCTTCAAAATAAAAAATACAATCACACACGAGAATGTCAAAACAACTTTTTTTTGCGACTTTGTAACCCTCCCACTTCCTTACGTTACTCTCAAATTCAATGCTCTCTTTTTAGCTAGTAATTAACACCCACCTTACCTTAATCTGACACACTTGAGTACATTAAAAAAATTCACTCTTGGGCTCGCCTACTATTATGTTCATTCACTTATTTATAACACAAGTCGACTACTGAACGTAGGCCTCCCCCAAGGAATGCCACAAAACACGTTTTTCGCCACCTGTTTCCATCGACTTCCTGTATGTATTAATGGGTTTTCATAACAATTAGTGGAAGGCCGCTGTACACTTCGCTTGCCAGTGTAAGGCTGCCACTCTAGAACCTGTCTTCCCCATCGATCATTGACACTTCAAGCCTTACGGTCGGCGCATTGCCGCTTCTGAGGAAATGCTTTGTTTCAGAACTGAAAGGCGGCTTGAGCCCAGCTATTGGATGTACAGGTTTCAATTTGTCATAATTAACAATTAAAAATTAAAAATTTTGTACAGCAGACTTCAATATAAGTTATTAAGAATAACTAAAAACCATTGGTCTGACCTTGATCAAACGAGAAGTACCAGCTTTCAAAGAAAAAAAAGAATCATCGAAATCGGTTAACCCAGTAAAAAGTTATGAGGTAACACACATAAAGAAAAACATACAGTCGAATTGAGTACCGAGACGGTACTTTTTGGAAGTCGGCAGAAAAAAGATAACAGCGTAGTGGCGGTGTTACATTATACTTAACATTAGGTGAGCCGCATTTACGTTTGCCCACTCTTTTATGAAATAATATCCACCACTCTATATCGTCCCTACGGTGTCTTTAGTGGCGACATAGGTAAACAAACTAGAAAATGGGCAGCAGCGTCAACCTAATAACAACTCGAAAATAACAATAAACTGCAAGCTGCTGATGGTAAGTATCTCTCTTTTGAGGCCCATCTTTAGGGAGGCCTACGTTCAGCAAGGGGGCTCTGATAGGCTGATATATATAATTATAATAATGTTGACTATGATGAAAAAGTATAAAGAGATCTTACGTTAACACGTAATGCCCGCATCATCGACAATGTTCGTCTTATGAAAACATAATACGTTGCACAGAAAATTATACACAAAGCGTGATTTACATATCAGCTTTATCTCAATACAATGTTAGGTTAAGAATAATATGAATTGCCGTTACAACCAAGTCGCATACCTAAAGGCTCATTTGACGCGTTAACAAAGTGTAGCATAATATCATTTAGGACTTCTCTTTGACATAACAAAGCAATGTTTTAAATACTGTATCGTGAATTGTGGTGTCAGGAAGACGAATTTCGCAAATTATGTACAATTGTGATAGTAAGTAATATTTCGCAAAATGCACGAAAGCAAAATGGAAGAGTATAAGAAAGAGGATTACAATCCATTTGAACATCGAAAAGTAAAAAAGCCAAGTTCGTAAGTGAGCACAATTAATTTAAGTAGATTACACCTAGATTTTTAACGTTATTCTATACTTTATTATATACAGTATTAAAGAATATAATAAAAAAAATAAAACTAGTAAACTAACTTAATTATCAAACAGTCCTACTCCTTGCGGTATTGTGCCAAGCAAACGCAGCCAACGCTGGCTGCGGTTCCCCGCTTGATTGATATACTTAGCCTTTGAGCGAGAAAAGAATCAGCCATCTTATCACCAGCAGCAACTACCAGCCGCGGATGGAGTTTCTTTAGGAACTTTACCGCACGGGGACCCCACGGACCGATAGTCTCCACAGCAAATGGCACAAATATGTAGACATCTCTCAGAGACTCATATTTGCGTCACTTACTCAGTTCAGCTGCCTCTGATGCTGCCCCGACTCTAAACGAGGTATCCCTGAGATGAGAGGCCGCCAGAGTCTACACAAGGAGCTTCCCACACTAGGGCTTTATCTCTCTCCCAAGGGACCAATGTCACAACGTCGGGTCTCTTGACATCATCTCTAAATATTCCACAAGGCTCTAAAACCGAGGGAACATTTATAGAGACAAGAGCCCTTCGGATTTCAGATTTCTGATTTCAGATTATTGTATTGCAGTTTGACTTAATTATAATTTCATTAAATTTTATACATATTAATATAAAACGATGTTTATTGTACGTGAGATTTTTTTCAATAGTAAATATTTTCTTGTAATCAATGTATAAAAATTATAACTAATAATAAAAATATTATTCTAATGAAAGCTTGCGGGAGTCGTAGAAGTGACAGAGAGAAATAAAACATGGGATTGGGAGCAGCTTCTTTCTGATGACAACTCGGAGTTACAAAAATCTGCAGTTGCTAACGCCTGCCAAGCGAGTCAGAAATGGCAAATATCCTTCCTATGAGGTAATCTATGGGGGAGGCCCGTGTCCAGCAATTAGCTTTTAGTAGGCGAAAAAATTGCTGTAAATATGCTGAAGTATTGTAATCTATAGATTTGTAAAGCGATTACATATTTCATTACTGTTATTGTATTAGATTTTTTAAATAGTTTTTATAACAATGTTGTGCTATTAAAGAAAAGTTTTTTTTAGTGGTAGGACATACTGCAGCTATTTTATGGTTGCAACACGAATGGGTTCACTTAACCGGGGAAGAACCACGCTCTCACAACATACTAGCGTAAAATAGCAGCTATATATACTTTTGTTATATTACTTTTGTTTTCTATTGTGAGTGTTATGAACCGGATACTCTTTTTACTGGAAACAAGGCTAGACTAAGCTTACATCTAGTCCTCAGGGATGACAAAACATCTGCATTCTGATTCTTAATCAAGAATAGATGTAGATGTCTATAGGCCACTGCATCCACTCACTATCAGGTGGAATTGTGTTCGTTTGTTGCCCTTATTCTATAAAAGAAAAGTACTGCAAATACATGTATATATTACAAAAGTAGACTCATTGTGAACAAGGTGATTAGGAGAGATACAATACAAACTTACCATTAGAAATATAGCGCAAAAGTTATATGGCGTTGTGATAAGGCTACATTTAATATTTGACTCCATTTAATGTAGCACTTATGTGACATAATCAGATTTATATGCAGTGATTCAGTGTCAGAGACGTTTGAATCAGTAAAACATTTACAACGGGGCCTACAATTTATGAATTATACAAGCATTGACTGTCATTATTAAATATGCTACACTCCTCATCAGCCCGTACTCGATCTGTTATGTAGAAGGCAGAATCTGCTTCGATCACTACGCTTGGCACACGGATGAGCAATCACCGTATCAGACATCTCATCTGGTACTGCGTGTCTGTCATATATTATGTCATTTTTATAGTTAAAAATTACGAGTCACATTGCTTACCCGCAATTAACTTTTAAACTACTGAACTGATTTCAATGAATTTTACCCCAATGTGTGCAGTTTGGTACAACTTGAGAGATAGGATAGTTTTTATCCTATCTCTCAAGTTGTACCAATTAACAGTGGTAGAGCCACGCGGCAGCTTTTGCTGTCGCACGAATAGGCCGGCTCGAACCGGGGTAGTACCACGACCTCACAGAAAACCAGCGTGAAGTAGAGGTTTACCTCTGCGTTTCGCTTGGTGAGTGCAGGTGGCCGGAGGCCCTTTTTACTGGTAATGAGGCATTGCATCTTAGTCCTCACAGGTGACAACGCATCTACATTTTGATTTGTAACAGAGGATAGATGTAGATGTCTATGGGCCGCAGCAACCACTTACCATCAGGTGGACTGTGTGCTCGTTTGTCACGCTTATCATATAAAAAAATCCCGATAAGTGACCCTCAATATTTTTTTTATAGAATTAGTGTGTACAAACGAGCACACAGTCCACCTGATGGTAAGTGGTTGCTGCGACCCATAGAGATCTACATTTATCTTCATTTGCGAATTAAAATGCAGATGCGTTGTCAGCCGTGAGGACTAAGATGGAATGCCTCTTTTCCAGTAAAAAGGGTCTCCGGTTCTCTACACTCACCATAAGAAACACAGCAGCATTAAGCTGCTATTTTACGCTGGTATTCTGTGAGAGCGTGGTCATTCCCCGGTCGAGCCGACCCATTCGTGCTACAACTATACTATTAATATAGCTGCAGTATGGCTCTACCACGTATAAAATGTATCTTTTTATTGTGAATTTAAGTATTTTTATCATACGACTCTCAAAGGATGAGATTAGGCGGTGAATACACTTAATTCATCTCACAGCCCCGGACTACTTAATATATGATACACATTAACGAATTTCAGCTTTACTCATATTTGTGGTAGAGCTACGTTGCAGTTGTATTATGACTATAGTACATGGGTCCGATCGTTCGAGATATGGACCAGAATGTGTGGGAGCGTAGTCCTTTCCTCCTCCCCGTATGATGAGAGAAGAGAACCGGATACCCTTTTTACTATTATCGAGTCTTTCAATCTTATTCTTCAGGGGGGCAACGTATCTGCACTTTAATTCTTAATCGATAATAGATGTTCGCGTCTAAAGGTCACAGTTCCACTTTGTATAATATTGAAGTGACAAACGAACTTACAGTCTACTGTATGGTAAGTAGCTACTGAAGCCCATGAACAACTGCAACCAACTTAGTAGTATAGTAGTTTAATAACCAACTCAATAACCTCTGAGGACTAAGATGGAATGATGATTAATACAATCAGGCGTTACTTTGCGCAAAATCCATTATATTAATGTTGGTTAAAATTCATTCATCGGCTTAGTAAAAATAAAATGATGTGTCTTACCTAGTTTGGCTGACGCTATGTGCTTAGCGGTCAGCCACCGCAGAGTCTACTTCACCTGAGGATGCCTTGTGTAGAGGCGAAATACGTGTTGTATTATCGACGGTGGTATGTCTTTCCTAGTGTAGTGATGTTGGGAGTAGTGGTGCTGGGATTAGTGGTGACGAAGACAGTGCACGCAATTGTGGAAATGCGGGATGTGCTCTTTAAGTATGGCAATACACATCGTTTTATTTTCACTAAGCGGATGCAGACAAAGTAATTTTTACCAACATTTTTTTTTATACTCTACTAAGTCAGCGCTTACCTACAATCCCACCTGATGGTAAGTGGTGATGTAGACTAAGATAGTGAAGCGCAGTGACTTAACAAAAGCCTATTCACTTTTGCCTTGAAGACACCCACACTCTAATTGGATGGAAAGACAGATGCTGGCAACTTAGTCCTTTGCTGTATGCATGATGAACGACGTAGCGACCCTTTGGTTCGAATGCGTGGTAAGTCAACAAAGAAAGGGTGGAGACTGGCCGAACATCTGGTTGTCCGATGGTGGAAGGGAGAGGGAAGTATTAAATTATGCAATTCCTACGCACACTCTCCGTAATGCATCCTGTAGAAAACCGAAAAACTGGCTACTTTGCGTCTGTGTTACAGGCTGGTAAGATTGGTCCTAACCAAATTTGGGTGCACCAATAAGCCTCTCAGCACTCTCATTAGTAAGATGGAATGTCCCACAACCTATAATTACTCTTCATGCAGTGCAGGTACTGTCAATTGGTGACAGAAAGAAGTAAGAGGGTTTAACTTAACATGATGGACTGGACACATAAAAGAACTCCTACCAACTATTAACCAACAAGTGGACTGTGAGCTTGCTTGTCGTTACCCTTATCTCTATAAAAATATCGTTAATAACAATCGAACGGCTAATCAATAAAAAAAAACGCCAGCATCTGTGTTAGCATCCGATTACAATCGAGATATATCTTCAAAGAAATAGTGTATAGGCTTTTTAAGCTAAGCCAGTCTGTTTAACCATCTTCGGATACATCACCCCTTACCACCAGGTGGGATTCTATCATAAATGCTGACTTATGACAGTAAAAAATAACAATGTAAGAAAAAGTTTAATGTGGATGGTTAATTCTAATATCCAATCCAGCAAGATCTGTATGAACGATGAGAAATATTAAAAAAAAATAACAATACAATAAATAGGAATATTAGTAAGTTAACTATTATGGTCTCATCACATCAGCCTGCAAAAATGTGTGACACTTGACAAAAAGGGGAAGGGATTTGTTACGATCTCGACACTGGGCTAAAAATATTCATAACGGAACCTAGACCTGACAAAGTTTTTCATCGTTACTAGAAGGTTTGCTTAATAAGTATTAATTACACAATAAAATAATTGTGTATACATATTCTAATCAACCTAGAGGAAGTTCTGTGATGGCTTAGCGACAATTCATGGAATACGGAACATAAAATGCTTGAGGTTACTTTTTAATATTTTGTAATAGCCATTAACGCAATACCTAATGGCAATACTAAAATGCATCAAATATAACAAAACATTCACCGACTTTGACATAATGAGAGTTTGTTTATGCAGTTATTCTAATCCAAGATAATTTAAGCACACAGACTACATTACGTTCTCTGTGTAAACCTTGAAATATTGTGACAACTTTATATTGTCTTCAAAACGAGTAAGATAACGAGGAATGTTGTTACGTTTAGAGTTTTTAAGTCAAATTAGATAAATTTAATATGTAAGTGTCAGGTCGCAATTTAAAGATAACAAAATTTACTTAAATATTTTATTCTATGTAGATACTTCTTAAATACTTTTTCAGTATGCAAATCGACATTTAAATTTCTTTCAGCTTAATAATTACTTTATATAAATTACAGTTTTTTATAGGCAGGTTTTATATATTACAGGTTCTATACGTGCAGGTTTCACCACGATATTTTCTTCCACCGCCGAGTAAGTGGTAAATTAGCAATTAAAATTGCATTTAACAGTTACACTGGTGCTGCGAGGATCGAATCCGTGTTACTGAGCTATGGTTTGGGAATTCCCGACAATTTCAAAGTCCCGGGACACGGGACATCCTATAATCAATGGCCCGAGAATTCCCGGGACTTCGAGACTTTTAAGAAAAATCTTTTTTGTTTTCTTTAAGAGGGGTAAGCCTTTTTGAAGAATTTTAATAGAGTTAATTTCTGGTGAAACGTATTAAAAAGAGGCATTTTTTTTTGTAATAATCAACATTTATTTATAATTAAACAGAAAATTAAACAACTTTAACGTTAATTGCAGTCCTAATAATTGCTTTGTTTATTTATTTTAGTTACACACAGATGCACTTCTAAACAGTTAAACCTTATAGTTATGAAACGAACTTAGTTAAAAATCATACTAATTCTTAATAACTTTACTATTATATAGTAATTCTAGTATCTAATCATTGTTCATAATCTCATTGTTAATTCTGATAATCACATATTTTTGTTTAATTTATTGTGTAGCGTACTCAGTAGTTACGAAGTAGACCAATTAATTATTCATTAAACTAACACATGGCGCTAGGCTCCTTCAATTATTTGAAAATAAAAATGATTACATAACAATTTCGACAATCTTGTCTCGTCTCGAGTCTCGACCCGAAAGTCCCCGGACTCGAGACAACTAAAATTACGAAAAGTAACCCAAACCCTATTACTGACGTACTGTGAAATTTACAGCTAGCGCTTATACCCTCAGTTGACACAGCTCTCCCGAACTACCTGAGTTCTTTTACGTTCTGTGGATGCTCTTGTAATAAATGGCTTCAATAAGAAGTTTATACGTGGTAGAGCCATGCTGCAGCTATATTAGTAGTAGGTATAGTTGTAGCACGAATGGGTCTGCTCGACCGGGCAAGCACCACGCTCTCACAGATACCAGCGTAAAATGATAGCTTGACACTGCTGTGTTTCGTGTGGTGAGTGTAGAAAACCGAAGGCCCATTTTACTGGAAAAGAGGTATTCCATCTTAGTCCTCACGGGTGACGACGCATCTCCATTTTGATTCTTTATTGAGGATAAATGTAGATGTCTATGGGTCACAGCAACCACTTACCACCAGGTGGACTGTGTGCTCGTTTGTCACCCTATCCTATAAAAAAAAATCAACACATACCTCGAGGCAGAATAGGAACCCCACCACTTTGTTATATATATTATATATGTCGCAGCCAACTAGCTTAATTAGCCTTTCAGTTAACAGCCTAGCCTTTTTACTAAACGACGCCGTGTCCTGCAGACAACTAATATAAGCAACGCTTTAGCTCAGCCAGCTGTCCCAAGGGCCACACCAGCCGTACCTTAACCTACTGTCGCAATATTATTACAAGATAATTGCAACGTTGTATAAGAATTGTTGTATTTGACGGCTCCGTTGCGCAATGGCTTAGCAAAGAGTTGTTGCGCTGGGGGCCGAGGGTCCGAATCTCACACGGAACAAGTATTTGTATGGCATACAAAAAATTGTTCTGGGTCTGGATGTTTGTCCTCGTGCAATTTATGTTTTTAAACTGCCTCCACGATACAGGAGAAAATCCTAGTAGGAGGGTAACTTTTTTTAAAAAAAAAGAAAAAGAAAGACCACTAGTTGAACGACACCCTTTAGTAAAAGGCTAGGCTGTTAACTGAAAGGCTAATTAAACTAGTTGGCAACGGCATATACATTTCTTTCATAAACGAAAAATGTATTTCATTAATTTATTGATTCATTACAGTCTATCAAAGGGTCACTGGTGAACACAGGCCTCTTCTCTAGATTGCCTCATATTTTTCACAGATTTTGCCGTGGTTACCACGCTAAGCGGGTAGGTTGGTAACCGCAGTTTCTTTTTATTATTTATTGTTATTATCAGGATGATGTAGCTGTCCATCGGCTATTTTAATTTCCCTATTCAGCCTCTTACGACACCCATGGGCAGTGGAGGCGTAGAGTAGTATTTGTACGTGGTAAGCCACGCTGCAGCTATATCAATAGTATAGTTGTAGCACGAATGGGTCGGGACCGGGACCACGCTCTCACAGAATACCAGCGTAAAATAGCAGCTTAATGCTGCTGTATTTCGTATGGTGAATGTAGAGAACCGGAGACCCATTTTACTGGAAAAGAGGCATTCTATCTTAGTCCTCATGGCTGACAACGCATCTACACTTTAATTCGCAAACGAAGATAGATGTAGATGTCTAGGAGTCACAGCATCCACTTACCAACAGGTGGACTGTGTGCTCGTTTGTCACTCTTATTCTATAAAAAAAGAGTGGATTGGCACCCAGGGCGGTTTTCTATAAAACACCCTCCAAAATTAAAAAAAAATGCTAAACATGCTAACGGGACTTTATTTTGCTAAAATATTCTATTATATTATCAACATTTACTTTCTTGTCCTTTTCGATAGATCAATTAGAAAATTTCGTTAGTCGCACTTGGCTCATTGTGGACCTTAAGCAAGATATTGTTAACTCGAGTTTTGAAAAGCTTCTTTCACATGAAGCTACCGAAACACAAATATAGTAAAAATAAAATGTTAGATACAGCACTAGATTCGGAACAGATTCAGAATAGCCCTGTTTTACGATGAATCTGAGAAGCTCCAATGAAGTACATTGAACCACTTCTTCGAAAGAAATGCTGGCGGCTTCCAAGTGGCGTCTCAGTCGTAAAATCTGCAAAATTCTGCCTTCTGCAGAAAATTCAACATAGATTTTTGTCAGATTTTGAACTATTACACGAAGATATTCTTCTGGTGACGTTAGCAGAGTGTAAGGTTAAACAACACTAAATGTTACGAGTATATCACCCATTGACCTGTAAGGATGGTCTAGTTTTTCGTAAAATCTATCAAGCCGTTCTAATATAGCTCTCTGCAGCTCCTTTGGCTATGTTAGTCCAAAATTTCTCCTGGCAAACGTTTTCGAAATCTCCTTCCTCTTCTTCCTTCAATCTAAATGTCCAAGTCGTTACATTTTTTCTTGATTTTTTCCAATATTTCAATATGTTAGCTTTGAAAAAAAATTGGGTTTTGATTTCTACCACACATTTTTCCAATGATAGTTCAGATGTTTGTATTTACTTTTGCGTCTGATTACATTATTTTAGTACTTCACTCCAAAAGGAAAGATAACATAAAAAACTGAAGTCGTAGATTTATCAATTAGCACAAAGCGTAAACAATGCTTTGTGGTTGCGTTCTTTGATTCTGGCTTGTATGCCACCATGAACTCCTGCCATAGTTACATATTCTTGAGCCCTTATTACTTACCTTACTAGATCGCGTTACTCACTCGACTAAGCGCTACCTAACCTGAATTCCTGAATAAATTTAAGATATATATTAAGATATAATATTTGTATACACGTAGATACTATAGTAGGTAGCTATCTATTTATTGATATGTCTTTGCGGAGCAATTCTTCTTTTTTTCTAAAAAAAAAAAACGTTACCCCTACACTAGGATTTTCTCCTGTATCGTGGAGGCAGTTTACAAACACAAATTGCACAACGACAAACATCCAGACACACGTGTAACAATAATTTGTGGGCCATACAAATACTTGTTCCGTGCGGGATTCAAACCCGCGGCCCGCAGCGCAGCGCTGCAACTAATTGCTAATCCACTGCGCCACGGAGCCGTCTATAAGTATCTCTCTGGCTGTGCGAGTGAGTTGTGCTTGGCACCCGGGGCCACCACTGCCCACGGGGTGATATGGGTAGTGGATATTCTTAGGCCGCCACTACCCAGCAAGTAATATATAATTTGACCTTAAATATATTTTCCTAATGTTTAACCTTAAACCTAAGCAAGATTACATAACCTTTCTTTTTCAGAGACTTAAGGTCTACAACTAATCTTATAAAGGCTTCTTTGGGTTCTGGACTATTAGCGGGACCTTTGGCATTTGCCAATGCGGGATGGGGAGTTGGAATTGTTGGCACCATTGTAATTGGCATTATTTGTGGACACTGTGTTCACATATTGGTAAGTTAGTATTCTTTCGCGTCGGTTAAATCATTAATAAATCAATAATAATTATAATAAATGAGTGATTAGAGATTTAATTTTTGTTTTTGACAAAAAGCCGCTGTTAGGTATATGCCTCGACTTACTACTAATAGGAAGGATTTGCCTTAAGCGCCGTATTGGCTTATTCTATAAAAAGAAGTCTAAAACCGTGATGAGATGATGTTATAATTTTTTTGTACCACACGGCTAATTAACATTGTTATATTTGCAGGTGAAAACTTCACGTGGATGTTGTAAATTGGAACGGAAACCATTACTAGGGTACGCAGAAACAGCAGAATCTGTTTTTGCAAATGGTCCAAAACCAGTACGATCTTACGCAAATTGGGCCAAGTAAAAAAAACATCAAGTTTGTTTATAGCTAACATATTAAGAGTGTCATTATAAATTTAAATATCGCATCGTAATGCGAACTACAAAGTTGGAGTTTGTTTTGATAAAATTTTTAAGCAGTGTCGGAAGTACGAAATATAAAAAACATCATCTGGATGCGTCGTACTCTATAAACTAACAAATGAGGCTAAACAAATGAGACATATGGTCATCTGATGGTAAAAATACATCCAAATAGTTTGAACCTCAATCCCATAGACTAGTACCTAATAGGCAGTTATTTTTAACTAGTGCAAAGGTGTTATCAGCAATGCACTCTCAAATCCGCTTGCTCAATTTACTATCGATCATTCGGCACTTTGTGCATTTTAATGTATCCTATAGAATTTTAAAGGCGATCCCAAAAATCAGAAAAGGAGAAAAGTAATAAGATTTATATGATTATAAATCAATAATTATCGCCAACTGAACAATACTCTTGAATAAAACTATATTTTTTTTTCGGATTTTAGCGTTTAATTTCCTTATTTTTAATTCCCGACGTTGCAGCTGCTTTATAGCACTCATGGTCACGGTGGGAACTGATGTTTGACGTTCTGATGTCATAGTGAGCCCGGCTACCTTAATTTTTGAATATTAATTTTTGAACGCATAATTTACGCAGAACAAGCTTACAATATCTTGAAAGCTTGCAGTGTTTTGCTTGGGCTTGGATTTAATTTTATTAATTATAGTATCCCAAGCACATGGCAGCACTCGTCTATCTTCTCTATTGAAATTGGGATGATTTTTTTTAAATTTCAATAGCCTCGCGTATCATCCTTGGTGCGTTCTTTTGCGAGGATTTGTCGTCTATCAAATCTGATGTAATAGCGGGGACGATCTTGAACATATTCACAGACTGCAGTGCAGACTTCCTGGAGCATTGGTGCTTCACGTCAGGTATATGTTCTTTCAGGCGGGTTTATATAGTTAGTCTTATGTAAGTCTCTCTTGTGTAAGAAACCACATTTGCAATCATGCTTCTACACTCCTGTATTTTGTAGAGGGATATTACACTTAACGGATGGTAAAATTTGACTAAGCTTTTTCGGCACGGGATCCGAAGCGTATAAAATCCGTAAAAATTGTTTTATTCAATGTGCCTGTGTCGCCTTCTCATCATCGGTCTCGAGAGCTTAAGTTTAGATTTTAAAAAGATATTTCGTCACATAACAGACACACAAATCTTTAGAATAGCAAAGTGATTATGATAGCATACGATATGATATGATAGATTATAGGAACATGATTGATCATCTGACACGTTTTGTATTTTAGTCCATCATCATCATCATCATTACAGCCCTTCACAAGTCCACTACTGAACATAGGTCTCCTCCAAGGAATGCCACAAAGCACGGTCATGAGCCACCTGCTTCCATCGACTTCCTGGCTGTATTAACCAGGTCGTCACTCCAAACTATTTTAGTTGATACAACCAAAATTACAGCACTTCAATATTCTTAGAGAATTTGTGTTTTACGAGGATTAATTATCATAAAAGCAGACAAAATCCTCTTTTTCATCATTATCAGCACGCAATAGTCCACAGCAAAATACGGGCCTCTCCTGTTGTAAGGTGGGCTTGGCACCTGCCAATTAAGAAAAAACAGATCGGATTACCAGACTTCTTCCAATTTTCACGCCGTTGCCCATCTGCTCCCGGTCTGGATGTTTTACGCCTTACGATGATTATACCACCTGCAACTGCCAATCTGCCTGCCAAGCTTGGCAACTATGGCAAAATCCATCCTATAAGGCATTTTAGGGGAGGCATGTGTTCTGCAGTAGACTTTTTATAGGCTGTAGTGGATGGATGGATGAAATAAGCTTTATTAACAGTGAAGTTTTTTTTTAGAATTTTCAGCGAATTTGCCTTGCTTTCAACTTATGTGGGAGTATGTTGCATTTACACTGTTCTCATATCGGATTCAGTAAAACAGGTGTTGCTTAATTAGTTTTATTTATACATTCATAATTTGAAATTATTACTATATGTTTATAATAATGCTTTCTTTTTGAGTTAGTGGACAAATATTTCCCGTCTGTGATTCTGCCAGTTGAATACTACTGCCTGATCATATTGGTACCAATATGTTTACTATGTCAAGTCAGATATTTAAAGTGGCTAGCTATTTTCTCCTCTTTGGCTAACTTATTCCTTGTGGCAACATATCTAATTTGTTTGTATTACATTTTCGGTGAGAAAATTACATTAGCTGACAAAAGAATTGCTGGTGACCCATGGAGATTTCCTGCATTTGTCTCGTAAGTATCGAACTCAAAAAATTAAGCGAAGTAGATAAAAAAATATTTTAATGTTTTTTTTTAAATTCCAGTACAGTTATCTTTGCTATGGAAGGCATTGGAGTGGTAATGCCTGTTGAAAATGCCATGAAGAAACCCCAACATTTTCTCGGATGCCCTAGTGTACTCGTAGTTGCCATGACAGCTATAGTTTTCTTCTATAGCACGCTGGGCTTATTTGGTTACTTCAGATACGGAGACGTTCTTAGAGGTTCTATTACGTTAAATCTACCACTGGACGACTGGTTAGTATATTTTTATAAAATTTGATAAAATCACTTAGGGGAAAATGTGAAATCTAGCAGAATATTTCACTAAATGACCAGTGAAAAATGTTTCTCCATGTTAGAGGGTTGTAGTCTGCTACAAAACACAAGTCTCTCCAGTGTGATTTTGACTATATATACTTATATACAGTTTTTACTGTATTACAGTATTTTACTTTTTGGCCTGATTGGAATTCAACTTATTAACATTAATCAGACATGACACTCAGACCTGTGACAAGCAGTTATTCATAGTGATTTCTATGTACTAATTATATACGTATATAAATATGTATATATATGTTTATATGTATATATATGTATGTATGTATGTATGTATATATGTATGTATATGTTAGACTATGCGAGTACAGAACCAGAGTACGAAACCTATCCAACTGCAGAAAGGTGTAAGACAGGGTGACGTTATATCCCCGCTGTCTTCAAAAACGTCTTCCGATGCAGCGGGCATTGGAAGATGTTTTCAAGCTACTGAACTATTAACATCAACGGCGAGTACATCACTCACCACCGATTTGCCGACGGTATAGTCCTTATGGCAGAATCTATGAAGGATTTAAGCACTATGCTCAATAACCTCAATAGTGATTCCCAACGGATAGATCTTAAGATGAACATGGACAAAACAAAGATCTTGTATGACGTCCATGTCACAACTATGCCGATAGTTGTTGGAAGCACTAAGCTCGAAGTTGTTGATGAGTATATTTACCCGGGACAAATAGTCCAACGGATTCAAATCTGCTGGGCAGCGTTCGGAAAATTACGGCACATCTTCTCGTCAGGTATAGCTCAAAACTTGAAAACGAGACTGAACAACCAGTGCGTGTTGCCAGTGATGACATATGGAACTGAGACATGGTGGTCGTATGAGGAAGCTCAAGTTGGCTCAGCGATCTGTGGAGAGGGCTATGCTCGGGGTTTCTCTGTGTGATAAACTTCGAAATAAAGATATCCGCAGTAGAACCAGAATGACCCACATAGCCCAACGGATATTAGTAAGCTGAAGTGGTAATGGGCCAGCCATATAGTTCGGGAAAAAGGTTTCCGAGTGCCGGCCTCGTACCGGCGGACGAAATGTATGGCGTCGCCCCACTAGATAGAGTGACGACCTGTTAAGACATGCAGGAAGTCGATGGATGCAGGTGGCTTTGGATCGTGCTTTGTGGCATTACTTGGAGGAGGCTTATATTCAGCAGTGGACTTGTGAAAGGCTGTAATGATGATGATGTATAATTTTATATTTGTATAGTTTATTTATTAGTAAAATGTGTTTATTACGTAGTTAATTATCATTTTTATTTTGTTTTTTTGAACCTCCTCGGTTCTCAATTCGAGTATTTTTTTATTAAATAGGTTACACTTCAAGGCTGGTCCCATATAAATTTGGAGAAAAAATTCCACCCCTAAGGGTAGCAAATAAATAACTTCTTTTTTAGCAATTTGAAGTCGGTTTTTACTTTTTGTCAAAAGTTATAATTATTAATTCTATATTGCTACACCTACGTCGAATTCTCACCACTCCATGGGTTGACTGGTAGAGAATGCCTTGAGGTATTAAGTCTGCTCTTTGTATTCTTTTGTTTTAAGGAATGCAATAAAGAATAAATAAATAAATAAAATAATCGGCACTATCAAAGGTGCGGGACGTCTGGTACTGCGAATATCAATACGCCTTCAAGAGTGACGATTAAATCAAATCCTCCCTGCAATGGGAGAGACGCATGTCCCGCGGTGGACTTATACGAGCTGATGAAGAAGAAGAAGAACCAGGTTAAACTATTTTATCATTTTACGTTTTCGTTTTTCATATTTTTAGGCCCGCAATCTGTGCAAAGGCTTTTATAGCGTTGTCAATATTCTTCACATACCCTCTTCAATTTTACGTCGTGTTTGACATTTTTAAAAAGCACACTGACCGATATATAATAGATAAGTATCGTAATATCACAGAAATTGTGGCCAGAATCATTGGAGTTGCATTTTGTGGTAAGTTTATTAAATTAATTCAATTAATAAACTTTCTACTATATAATTCAATAATTGTACGATGCGATATTTTTTTTCTACTAAACAACTTTAATATGTTATCTACTACTTCAACTCTGTAATCATCAGTCTTGCTCGAAAATGACCGCTTTAGGCTCTACTGGGACAGGGCCATCATCACAGACAGGACTATTATTGTGCTGATGGATCGGGCACAGTCAAGAATATTTTTGTTCGACATTACCATCCCGTATGTTGAGAACCTTTTGAAAGCAGAAACAGATTACCGAACGAAATATCTGGACCTGGTTCACGAGGTGACCGACATGTAGGGTGGTCTGCTGACCGAAATTATTCCTGTAGACGTTTCTGCGAACGGGCTATTCCCGGTCATCTGAAGCCACTGACACTACGTAAAGGACCGCCCCGTACTCTAATGCAGAAGGCGGTCCTGTCGAAACTGCCCGCATCAGCCGCCGGTTTCTTTGCCTTTCCCCCTAACCCACGCCTATTAGTTCTAAAAATCGAGGCTTGCCGAGTCCTTCCAACTGGTTCGGTTTTTGTTTATTTATGTTTTTTTTTATAGGATAGGATGACAAACGAGCACACAGTCCACCTGATGGTAAGTGGTTGCTGTGGCCCATAGACATCTACATCTATCCTCGTTTGCAAATCAAAATGCAGACCCTTGAGGACTAAGATGGAATGCCTCTTTTCCAGTAAAAAGGGTTTCCGGTTCTCTACACTCACCATACGAAACACAGCAGCGTTAAGCTGCTATTTTACGTTGGTATTCTGTGAGAGCGTGGTCCTTCCCCGGTCGAGCCGACCCATTCGTGCTACAACTATACTACTAATATAGCTGCAGCATGGCTCTACCACGTAAAAGTTATGTATTTTTATTTATTTGAAAATAATAACTTATTGTTACAATATTTAATGTCACGGCGGCCAGTCTTAATGGAGTCTAGCCATCTGCATACGACAAGTTTATAGTGCCCGAGCGCACAGGAGCATTGTACTTTCCCTCGCTCTCATAGTCCAATGCAATGGATAAAACCAACACAATCGGAACTAATTATCATTAATAACCATTTATTTGTGAAATTTGAATCCAACCATCCATTGCAGCATATAAAAGTATACTGCTGAACATAGTCCCATATAGACAGGCTCCCCTCCATTGTTGCCACGCTTAGTTACTATAGTAAAATCCCCACCGGAAAGTGGTGCTACTCGTTTAGCACTACCCAGGGGATACGTGTAGTGAGTCAGAGTTCTACACACTCTTCTAAACATTCTATTAGAATATAATAGAATAGAATAATTTTTAGGGTTCCTTGCCGCAAAAGGAAAAAACGGAACCCTTATAGGATCACTTTGTCGTCCGTCTGTCTGTCTATCAAGACCCTTTTTCTCCGGAACGCGTAAAGGTATCAAGCTGAAATTCATATCAAATACTCAAGTCTACTGTCCCTTGGAGCTGTGAAAAAATCAAACTTCTAAGCCGACGCAATCAAAAGATACAGCCGTTTATGCCGCAAATTTACGACATTTACAAGGGAATCAAAACCTACAGGGTACTTCCCGTGAACTCAGAATCTTAAAATTTGGTACGAAGCAACGTATTATAGCACAGATAAAGGAAAAATTGCGAAAAGCATAAATTTTTAGTTACATCACATAATAAAAATATTTTTAATAATTTTTTATATACCTACAGATTTTGTCGGAACCCTCGGTGCGCGAGTCCGACTCGCACTTGGCCGGTTTTTTTAATTCAATATTGATTACAAGTAATTCTTATTGAAAGTCATTTTTTATATTACCACTGGTTCGAAAAAATCCTCTGTCCTGGGAAGAACCAGCAAGAAACCCAGCGGGACTTTTTTTTTAATAAATTTTACAATATAAATGATTAAACACTAATTACAAAATTTATTTTAGACACAGCTTGGAAGCGATCACCTCATTCCAAGGGGTTATTATCAACCATGTATTCGTTTACATTATAATAACCCTTTTTATATAATTTTTGCTTAATTAAATATTTAAACGTGGTAATAAAGATACCTTGTATATTTTCTGGGACTTAGTTGTAATAGCGTATACATTGCTCCAAGAATGAATTACTGACTCTGTGGAGTCGAAAGACCAGTATCACTAGCTTCTGTTTGTTCCTAGTGTTTACAGAGTGTACATCACTTTTTTTACTAAAACTATCTTTTATACATATTATATTGTAGTATTAAAGTGTAATGCTGAACATGAATTGCTTATAGGGGTTTTCTATAGTTGCCACACACCACATAATTTGGAGTTGTTATCAGGAAGATGCTGCCCATCTCCTGTTTCAGTTTCCCTCTGTTGCCTCTTGCACGGAACGAAATGGGATAGTTGATATTCTTAAATCACCACTACATAGTCAAAATGTAAATGTACGTTTGTTTTGCAGTCGGAATCGGAATCGCGCTACCTTTATTGGAACAAATTATAAACATCGTCGGTGCCTGTTTCTACTCTATTCTTGGATTCATTATCCCTGCTACTCTGGAGACTGTATTCCGATGGCAAAACCTTGGAAAGTTCAAGTGGGTGCTGTGGAAAAATCTGTTAATCATTTTATTTGGATTTGCAAGCTTAATATCCGGTTGCACGGTCACTATATTGGATATAATAAATATATTAAACAAAAAAACTGAATAGTTATGCACAATGTTATAACAAATAATTCATTCGAAATTACTATTTTAGCAAAAGTCCATATAATTTATTACCCGACTGCCCCAGAAGGAAAGTAATATTTTTCGAGAGTATGTAATGTATTATATGTACATGTGTCTATTTCTTTGGCACGCTATGTAGCCTAAACGGCTTAACCAGATTTTAACATTATGGAGTGCCGTTAGATTCGTCTTAGTTGTGGAAGTGATATAGAGAGTTAAGGTATTAAAAAATTATCTTTGTAAGCGCAGTCGGGTTTTTTAAATTACAGTTTTAACCATTAAGCTTGTTTCGCGTAATATAATTTATATCTGTTATTTGTAAAGCAAGAGACAATTTAAATAAACTATTCAAATTTATTTTTGTTTCATTATCAATATACGAGTATATCAATATATGTATATATGAGCTGAAGTACCAATTTTCAGAATTTTATAAAAACCGTTCGGGATAGAATTTTTTTTAGGGAACCGAGGCCACCTCCCCCGCGCCCGAACACGTACATGCCAGATTATCCACCATTATATATATATATATATATATTTATATATAAAAATTCCGTGTCACATTGTTTGTCCGCGATGAACTCCTAAACTACTAAACTGCAACCGTATATACTTTTATATGCATTTAATAAAAAGCTATTATTTTGGCGTTACAAACGGACACTTCAATTTTATTTATAGTATGTCTATACATCTATAATGTATAGACATACTAATTGACAAAGAAACTTTACTGAACCTTAATCTCATAGATCCGTGGTAGCTCAGGGGCTAAGCGCTCGCTATAAATTTCACCGTACACGAGCAACCCGAGTTCGATCTCTGCCGGCACCAATGAAATTGTTAATTGCAATTTTAAGTACCTACTGATTTACCACGAGCTCCGCGATGAAGGAAAACATCGTGAGGAAACCTACATGTCTGAGAAATAAGAAAAAAATATTTCGAAGACTAGTGAAGTTTGCCAACACCGATCGACCCTTCGAGAAGCCTGAAGTATAGCAACATGTTCAGTATCGTCCCAACCCTTATATCAGATCTGATAGACAACAAATCCTCGCAATAGAACACCGATTCCTACAAAGAATGAATCCCGAGGCTATTGAAATTAAGAACATCCTAACTTCAAACTCAAGCAGACTACTACATGACTTCAAGATACTGTAAGCTCGTCTTGCGTAGATCGGGCCAAACATTATTAGTTAAAAGTTGATTGTAAGCTGTCTTCATAAGCTATGACATCAGGACGTTAAACAACTCCTCCTCCCGATCTCCATGGGTTCGGCCACACAGCTTTTGGCCAAAAAAGGTGCCAATGCGCAATCACCTCAACTGGGGAACTTCTCAGATATTATGCAGGTTTTATTTTACCGCCTAGAACGTGGTAAGTCAACACTTCAAATAGCAATTAACATATATGTAAAACTATGTAATAATGCTTAAGTACTTAATAATTAATCAGTTTAATTACCGCCTTTAACAAGTAAAATAAAATAAACCTTTGTTTTAGTAAAATCTGCTATCATTGTAATTAAAGTATTTTTTCGCAACAGCCTGTTTATTATATACATATCTCATGTGAGCTATGAAACCAGGACAGTCACAAAATCTTGATTTATCTGTTAATATGAAAACACAGAAATACAAAAATCTTTAAAACTGATTTATAAGTCTCATTAAAGGTATAAAAACTAAAGTAGCAGCTTATATACGTCTCTCTACTGGGTACAGGGCTCTTCATTACTAGTATTTGTGGACAGAAAAGAGTATGCCGCAATCCTTCAACTACTACTACACAGACATTTTTTAGATTTGCCCACGAAGTTATTCTTCACCACTTTACCGGTTACGTGGTAAGTCAACACGTAATATTTCCCATAACAGATTCATTTGTGTGCTCCCTTGCCGTGATGAAATCTCACGTCGAGGTACACGGTTCTCGTATTTGTTTAAATAAAAGTCATAAAAACTGAAACAAAGCGTTTGTACGATTATTGATCGTATATACCTAGTAATTAGAAACTCAACGATGCCACGAACTATTCCATCAAATAGAGATAAAATCATACAGTGCACTTAATTTCCAATTATTTACATCAGATAACGTGATAACGTATGAAGTTGGTAAAATAAAACCTATGCCGACACCCAATATATTCAACTAAAGAGCTTCTCTACTAATCTCAGTTTTGTGTACACAGTACTGGATACTGGGCACAGAAAACACACGTGTTGTGTATAACAGTGTTGTTAGCCATTTTGTCAAACGTGGTAATTGTGGTAAATCATCCCGATAATGGCCACCGGTCTAGATATTTTTAAATGAGACAATTCTTGATGCTGCACGAATAAGTATTCAGTAGCATTCTAAAATTTAATATATCAGTTACTTATCATTATTTTATTTAGCAGAAACTAGAGAGCGCTATATTACATTTATACTATGAAAGTCAAAACTATACATATACTATCTATTATGGAGTGTAGAGTAGAAGGAGGACCATCTCTGTATATGAAAAGTGTCCCTAAAAACGTGTCCAATAAGGGTGTCGCTGCATAAATTTAAAAAAAGCGCAAAAATTAATTAAAATAAGCTGGAGAAATAAACAAGGACCGACCAATCTGCTTGGTTTTGTACTACGTACTCGTAAATAGTTGAGTTTTTGTATACTAGCATTTTACTAACTACTCTAGTCATGAAATAATTTAAATATTTGAATTTAGCTGACTTCACTCCGTCTACAACAGCTATATTCATATCGTAGTTTTTCAGACGCCAGCGCTATTGTGGTAGATTTTGGAACCTCTATTTTCAGTATATAGTGGGACACTTTTTCAACTTTCGCACTTTATAAGATGGTTCTCCTTCTACTCTACACTCCATACTATCTAGTAATATACATCATGACGTGATCATCAAACAGTGATAAATATCATGAAGTGACACCATTTCACGAAATAATGATTTAATGAGAATTTTGCAATAATTGCAGGCAGACTAGTTTTCATCATTTTACATACAGATATAATATTTTTTTAGTTCAAAAAATACCAATTTTCATATGTTTGATAGATGTCACTATTATCTATTACTTTTTTTCAATTTTAATTATTACACATTTAAAATGAAATAACTATTAGATTAAACGCTAATATTAAATAATTTTATAAATGTAATTATTTAAACCCCGTGGCGAGTAAGAATACCGACCATCCCAAATCTTCCCGTAGGTGTCGTAAGAGGCGACAGAGGGAAACTGAGGCATAAGATGGGCAGCAGCATTTTTCTGATAACAACAAAACAGCATAAAAAAAGACTGCGGTTGCCAACCTGCTCGCCAAGCGTGGCTACTATGGCAATATACCCCCATGAATAAAGTTACGAAAAGACGGCCCCCTGTCTCCGGCGGCCCCGCTATTCCTGGCTATGGTGGCGACCATGGTAACAGCAACTCGAGCTGACAACATATAACGCACGTACCCTGAGTACTGACGTGAACATTCTGGAGCTGTAAGAAGAGATAGATAAGTTACGTTGGCATATTGTAGGATTATCCGAGGTCCGAAGGGAGGGGGACGACCAAGGTAACGGCAACTCGAGCTGACAACATATCACGCACGTATCCTGAGTACTGACGTGAAAATCCTGGAGCTGTAAGAAGAGATAGATAAGTTACGTTGGCATATTGTAGGATTATCTGAGGTCCGAAGGGAGGGGGAGGCACGGTAATCCACGAATCCGGCAACTTGCTCTATCACCGGGAGGGTAACCGTCTGTCCCAGGGAGGTGTCGGATTTTTGTCCACAAGTCTCTCGTTAACAACGTTGTAAAGTTCCTTTTTTACCTACCCTTTTCCGTTTCGTCATATAGATTATATATTCCGTATAGTCAGAATCACCAAACGGTATTCGCTGAAGGTCGTACAGGTTTAAGAGCCAACCTCAGGACACCCAATGAGGAGGTGGAGGAAATGTATGAGGATATATCTAGAGCCATGCATTCCTTCAAAACCCACTATACGGTGTTGATGGGAGACTTCAACGAAAAACTAGGCGCAAGAAAGAACGGTGAGCTGAAGGCAGGGAAATTTGGAATACGGCACCGAAACCCAAGGGCAAAGCAACCCAGCTGGCTGACTTCGTGAAGAAAGAGGCGCTCTTTATAATGAACTCTTTCTTCTAGAAGCGGCCTCACAGGAAGTGGGCCTAATGGAGTCCCGACGGTTCGACAAAAAATGAGATTGACTTCATTATGACAACTAGATGACAACTGTTCAGTGATGTCTCAGTGATCGCGAGGGTGAAAACTGGTAGCGATCACCGAATGGTTAGAAGCACACTGAAAAACATACAAAACCATTTTCAGTGTCTATAAGACTGCAATGCAGTGGACGATATGAATGACAAGCTCGTGGAAATTGTCCATGCGGTCGGAGCTAAGTTATGCAAGACCCGCCGCAGAAGAACACAAAACTGTCCGATCACACTCTTATCTAATAATCTCATAGCTGTTAGACGGGAAATGAAGCTGCAGTTTTCAGTAAATTTGAGAGCATACAGGCAACTGAACAGACAGATCTCCAAATTCATGCGGCAGAACTAGGGCTGCAAAGTCTTTGCCAGAGATCTGTCTGCCAGAAAGAGCCAACTGTATAAGCTGAAGACCAAGTGTGGTAGCATCGTTTCCGGGACACATGAGATTTTGAGTGAGATTTAGAGGTTCTATGGGCAGCTGTTGCATTATTTCGATGATATTCCGGACGTCAGTCTGAGCGAGATTAGAATAGCTCTCCAGCACCTTAAAAACGGCAAGGCCCCAGGCGAGGTTGGAGTTACAGTGGAGCTTCTGAAAGCGGGTGGAAAACCGGTACTTGAAGTTCTTCAGAGGCTCTTTGATTCCGTCCTCCACGGGGGCACTACACCGGCGTGGAAGTGCGGTGGTCTTGTTCTACAAGAAAGGCTACAACGCTCTCTGAAGAACTACAGACAGATTTCACTTCTGAGCCGCGTCTACGTGCTGCTTTCGAGAGTCATTACGAATCGTCTCGCATGCAGACTCGACGACTTCCAGCCTTCCGAACAAGCCGGTTTCCGAAAAGGCTTTAACACCATAGACCACATACATACCCTTGGGCAAATTGTATAGAAGTCCGAGGAGTACAATTTGCTACCACGTCACGCGTATGTGGACTATGAGAAAGCATTTGATTACGTCGAAACTTGGGCGGTGCTGCAGTCCCTCTAGCGGTGCCAGGTTGATTGTTGGTACATCGAATTGCTGCAGTGTTTGTACAGTAGAGCTACAATGGCTATCCGAGTACAGAACCAGAGTACGAAACCTATCCATCTACAGAGATTTGTAAGACAGGGTGACGTTATATCCCCGCTCTCATCACCGCTGTATTGGAAGACGTTTTCAAGCTGGACTGGAAAAGATACGGTATTAACATCAACGGCAAGTACATCACTCACCACCGATTTGCTGTCGATTATGGTAGAATTGCTGGAAGACCTAAGCACTATGCTCAACGACCTCAATACTGCCTCCCAACGGATAGATTTTAAGATGAACATGGACAAAACAAAGATCATGTATAACCTCCATGTCACACCTATGCCAGTAGTTGTTGGGAGCACTAAGCTCGAAGTTGTAGACGAGTATGCTTACCTGAGCCAAACAGTCCGACTAGGTAACTCCAACTTAGACCGAGAGGTCAATCGACGGATTCAATCGGGGAATTACAGATATCTCGTCAGGTATACCTCAAAACTTGAAAACTAGATTGTATAACCAGTGCGTGTTGCCATTCTATTCTATTCTATTCTTTCATTTGCTGATAGATGGCGCTGTTTTGATAATTAAAATGTATATTGTCAGCGGAGTTTCAAATAGTTATGCAAAGGTTAAAACTAATTTTAATCTTTATTTACGAATATAATATGTGATATTTATTTGAAAAAACACCCGTCATTCCGCCTATTAACTAGCATAATCATATATAATAGAAAATTAACATCCAAAGGAAGAAAAATACTTAACCTTATTTTTTAAGTTCCGTAATCGGATAAAAAGTAGCCTATAAGTTGCCCCGGGTTACTAAATACCTACATATAAAATTTAATGCAAATCGGTCTAGTAGTTTTTGTGTGAATCGGTAATACACAGACAGACAAACAGACAGACAGACAGACAAAAATTCTAAAAACCAGTAATTAGGCTTCAGTACCCTTTATTTAGTCCCCTCGACCTGTTTTTGTCAAGAATATATTTGAATTACAGACACGACTTTTCTACAGATTTATTATATGTATAGATGTTAAACACTGGCTTATAATACGTAAAAAAATACTACTAGACGGGCTCTGCAGCCTTAATACATTGCGCACTAATGTATTAAGCATTATCGTTTCGATACTTTTAAACAGTATCGAATAGTATCGATAAATATCGCGTGATAAGTATCGATATATCGTCATGTTATGCATGACGTAGAAGATTAAGAGATAAAACCCAAAATGTTGTTATTGGATGGTTAGACGATGATAAAAAATTGTTGGTTAATGTTTTGTTGATTAATACATTATTTTAATATATATCGAAATTTATACGAATTCGATACTCTAAAATAAATATGGAATATCGATAAATCGCGATTTAAAATATCGACTATATATATCGATAATTTTATGAGAAAATATCGATTTTTTTACCCGAGCCTACTTTTAGTTGATTGCAAACGGGCGGGAAGACTACTAGAGTTCTATGTATTGTAAACCGCGAACTTTATTTTCGACAATCTAGCACTAATTTTGTTTAATGTGACAAAGAAAAGGCTGTCATTATTTATGTTCGTACTTTGTGAACGTAATTTTATTTCAGATAAATATATAACTTATGAATTGCCTGGCTAGTAGTGTAGATAAGTCTTTGGGAACAAATACAACTCTTGCATTTTACTATATCTATATAGGCTACACATAATATTTTTACAATATAGTAAATATATTTTCGGGTATGCTAGAGCACTCTTATTTGGGGGTTTTATTTAATCATCATCATCATAACAACCCTTCACGAGTTCATTGCTGAAAATAGCCCCCAGGGGACGCCACAAAGCACGGCTCTGTACCAACTACGTCCATTCTATCCCTGCATCGCTTACCAGATCATCCGTCCGATTAAATGGAGGCATTTGTCCTACACTTCGCTTATCGTTACGAGGTCCATTGCCACTTCAGCTTACTGATCCGTTGGACTATGCCGATTACTCTTGTTTCTACTGCGGATCATGAAGTCTATCACGCAGAGAAACTCCGAGCATAGCCTAACATAACATATGATAACTATTTACTTCATATTCATAATCATTACATCGGGAACAAGTAAGTTAAAGAGCAGATACACACGCACGCATTCGCGCGCTTGACCTCCACGCTTGGGTTCACAATAATGCCTTTCTGTATTTTAAAAATAATTGTTTTATGTGTTAATTATTTTAAACCTGTTTATGATTCATGTTAATAAATATTTAAAAAAAACACACGTGTTAAAGCCACATTACAGTGTATCGCCTTTGAGGTGACAACGCATCTGCATTTTGCTCCTTAATAGGGGATAGATGAGATAGATGTCTATAGGTCACAGCATACACTTACCATAAGGTAGACAGTGTGCCGCAGACAATTTGTCATCGTAACTTCGAAGAAAAAACATAAACTTTGCGTAATATAATGTCACCTCTTAGGACAAAGATGGAATAACTTTAAATCATCATGTCATACATATATATACTGCTGCTTTGTAGTAGAAATAAAATAGAGTGTTACCGATTCAGACGAACTCCTAGGCAAAGGTTACATAATAAAATAATGATAACGTATGATATGGGATTCCTTTACATTGGAAAATTTAAGCAAGGACGGGTTATATCGGACGAGCACCTATCAAAACCTTAGTGTTTCACCTTTGGCACATATTGACAGAGTGAGTGACCCTGCGCGATTATTTGAATACTGTTTAGCATTAGGTAAAAATTTTCATCCATATCAAATAGATTTTTTTTTAAACTATCACTCGTTTAACAACTTTATTATAAGAATATTATTTGTATATAAAATAATATAATAAATGATAATAAATTGTTTATTTCCTTAATAAACGAGAATTATATTTTATCCTTATAAACATACTAGCTCGCCAGGCAGACGTTGTTCTGCCCTTTCCGACGACCATGTGTCCTAAAAAAATCCTTAAATTCGCAATAAAAATTTTGAGGGTCATTTATCGGGATAAAAACTATCTCTCAAGTTGAACCAAAATGCACACAGTGTGCAAAATTTCATTGAAATCAGTTCAGTAGTTTAGGAGTCCATCGCGGACAAACAACGTGACACGTAATTTTTATATACAAAGATTATAATAACATAGATGTTAAATATACATTGAGTAGAAAACCTTTATTGTCTCGGTTGATCAACTTTTGCGTATTCATAATTTCACGGTCTATCTTACATCCACGGTACACGTAAGCAGAGAAAATAAAAATAAACATTCTTATTCTAACTTATATACAGTATACTGCTTCGGTTAGCTTAACTGTTCTTGTTCTGATGTAAGAATTCATTGTACCAGTTACATGGTGTTTGTAACGCTCTAACGTCTTTCTATTTTTCGTTTAGTTCTTTTAAAAGTATTCCGGTAAATAGTAATACTACTGTTAAGGGTCCTAAAATAAATGAATATTGTGCGCATCAATTAACATCATCATATCACGTAGTTATTGACTAATGCAATTCACTGTTTCGCGGATCCTAACGATATTGATGCTTTGCCAACTTCCGAGTTATCCCTAGAGTAAATCATGAAACCGAATCCAGACTTTTTTACATCGTCTTTTCATAAGCCTTTTAAATTAACTCAAGAGTTAATGGTTAAGTAATGATAATATTAATTCATAATAAACGCATATTACAACAGCAACCCGGGTTCGATTCTCGCCGACACCAATGAAATTGTTAATTACAATTTTAAGTGCCGATTTACCACGTGGTCTGCGGTGAAGGAAAACATCTTGAGGAAAGTTGCATGCCCGAGTAATAAGGAAAAAAAAGTGAGTGACATGTGAGATTCGCCAACACGCATTGGGGCAGTGCGGCGGACATTTCCTTGCCCTAAAACCCCCTCAGAAATGAGAGGACGTATATAATAGACTGTAACTTTAAACGCATATTACATGTAAAACTGGACAATTATTAGTAATAAGTTTTTTTTTATAGGATAGGGTGACAAACGAGCGCACAGTCCACCTGATGGTAAGTGGTTGCTGTGGCCCATAGACATCTACATCTATCCTCGTTTGCGATTCAAAATGCAGATGCGTTGTCACCCGTGAGGACTAAGATGGAATGCCTCTTTTTCCATTAAAAAGGATCTGCGGTTCTCTACACTCACCATACGAAACATAGCAGCGTTAAGCTGCTATTTTACGCTGGTATTCTGTGAGAGCGTGGTCCTTCCCCGGTCGAGCCTAAAACTATACTACTAATATAGCTGCAGCATGGCTGTACCACGTATACAATAGTAATAAGTCTCATGAAATCCCATTTGTTTTGAGCGACAATGATTAATTTGTATAAACAACAATTGAAAGTATTAGCGAACACTTGACTTAAATCCTTTCTACTGTAAATACGGCTACACAATGCTTCGTTTATATCACGTTATCTTGAAGTGCTCTTATTAAAGCCATAACATGATAATTTTATATACAGACGAATCTGCCTGGGTTTTTGTAATCATCAAAACTGAAAGCAATTAATTCTTTCAGTCACGTACATTTTCACAGCAAACGATGCGAGTGTAAATGACATAGTGTCACATATACGTGATTATCGGGCGAACTGGACACCAATCAACAGTCAGAAATGGACCAAAACGGGGATGAATATAAACAAGAATATAATCCTTATGAGCATCGAGATGTAAAACAGCCAAATTCGTGAGTAATTCGTTACATTTCTTTTTTTATGGAATTAAATAATACATAGTAAGATTAGAAAATTTACTGCCGGCCATGGTTCTTTATTATAATTAATTCAAGACTGTTCTCAATGTTTCAATGTTAATCTTTAGTGGATTAGTCAAGGACAATGATTTTCGTTTTTCTATTTTCTAAAAACAAATATCACTCACGAGTAAATTAATTCATACCTAACCATTATTAATTACTATATCCCAACTTACACGTGATATGTATGTTAGTTAGATAATGATGTCTTATATTTACGAGAATACTACTCATAGAATAAAACTAATTTTAAGGACTTTATCGCTTTTAACTTTAACTTTTTTTAATTCCCGACTTTTCGGGCACTTTACGCATGGTCACGGTGGGGACTGAGGTGTTTGACGTCCTGATGTTAACGAATGCTACCTTCAACTTTCAATTACTAATTTTTAGTCCTATCTACGCAGAATGATCTTACAATATCTTGAAAACTTCCAGTAGTGTGCTTCGGTTTGGATTTTATTTTCCCAAGGATCCCAAGCAGATGGTAGCACCCAGACATCTTCTCTATTGAAATTAGCATGTTTTTTTTTTCATTTCGATTTGCATTAATGTAATGGCATCGGTGACCTGTCGAGGATTTGTGGTCTATCAAATCTTATATAATGATTGGGACGATCATGAACATGTTGACATACTGCAGACTTTCAAACACACAAAAGTAAAGTGTCCGAAATGTCGGGAATTAAAAAAAAGTTAAAATTAAACGCGATAAAATCGTAAAATTAGTTTTATTACATATGTTACCTAAACAAGGAACCAAATATTTACAACGTTTTGTAGTCTATTTAAATCATTCACAAAGCCAAAATCGTGTTATAGTACTTATTGCACGAGTTGGCCGTGAAGTATTGTATAATAAAGCATTATGACTAACACTAAGCTGATAACTAAGTGATATTCATGTGTTGACTTTTATAATACTGATTTAAACACTAAGCGTAATAATGATTAAGAAATACCTTTCTCATTGCATAAACTAAACGTTAGTTAAGGTAGCCTCGATAGAGGATGAACAGGATGATACGACTCAATGTACCTCTAAAATACAAAATATTTTTTATTCTCTGTGAATTTACTTACTCATAACGTTGTTTTTACGAGTGTTCCAACAGGGATGATCTCCGTTTAAATGATTTAAAGAGACCACCACAACGAATTGTCGACGCTTTTCCACTCAGTGAGTGTTTTCCTTCCATACGAAAAAAAATTATTAACTTCTAACACTATTCCCTTACCGTAACAGACTATTAAAGTCCGCTGCACATAGGCCTCCCCTCCTTTTTTTTATAGGATAGGATGACAGACGAACACACAGTCCACCTGATGGTAAGTGGTTGCTGTGGCCCATAGACATCTACATTTATCCTCGTTTACGAATCAAAATGCAGATGCGTTGTCACCCGTGAGGACTAAGATGGTGGATAAGACCTTTTTTTGCAATAGCTGCCACGCTTGGCAAGCGGGTTCGCAACCACAGTTTTTATTTTTGTTCGTTATTTGGAAGACGCCACCGCCCATCTCCTAATTTGTTTCCTCTCTCGCCTCTTACGACTCCAACGGGATGATATGGTATAGTGGGTATATTTTTATAGTATTATTATCAGATTATATTTTGGTTATTAAAGTTACGCCCCACTGCTGGGCACAGGCCTCCCCTCATTTCTGAGAGGGTTATAGGGCAAGGAAATGTCCGCCGCACCACACTGAACTTCACATGTCTTCTAAAACGTTTTTCTTATTTCTCAGACATGCAGGTTTCCTCACTCCACTCCTCCACCTCCAAAATTGCAATTAACAATTTCATTTGTGCCGGCGCGGATCGAACCCGGGTTGCTCGCGTACTGTGAAATTTACAGCGATTATTGCTATGGGTTAATAGTTATTCTAATTGTTTCAGAGATCTCCGATCATTAGCGAATTTAGTCAAAGCATCCCTAGGTTCAGGACTTCTTGCCATTCCTTTAGCTTATGCGAACTCGGGATGGGCTTTAGGAATTGTTGGTACAATAATAGTAGCTTCCATTTGCTGTCATTGCGTCTATATATTCGTAAGTATACTTATACTATAGTATGATTTTACAATTTTTTAAGTATTTATTAATATTAATGATATTTAAATTGTAATGAAAAGAATAATAAAGGAAATAATAAAAATATTATTCATAATTAGCTAGTACCCGGCGTGTTTTTTTATATAAACGTGTGACAAACGAGCACACAGTCCACCTGATGGTAAGTGATTGAAGTGATCCATAGACATCTAGATCTATCCGCAATAAATAATCAAATTGCAGATGTGTTGTCACCCGTAAGGACTAAAATGGAATGCCTCTTTTCCAGTAAAATGGATCTCCTGTTCTCTACACTCACCATACGAAACACAGCAGTGTTAAGCTGCTATTTTACGCTGGTACTCTCTGAGAGCGTGGTTGGTCCTTTGCCGGTCGAGCCGACCCATTCGTGCTACCCATTCGTACAGCTATACTACTAATATAGCTGCAGCATGGCAGTACCATGTATATATGGTACAGCTTGTAGGCTAGATAAAGCACATAAATGGTACAGTATAGTAAATACGTTCAGGATTCTGCTGGAATTGGCCGTGTTTGCCGAGGATTTATACGTGGTAGAGCCATGCTGCAGATATATTTCTGGTGTAGTTGTAACACGAATGGGTCGGCTCGACCGGGGAAGGACCACGCTCTCACAGAATACCAGCGTAAAATAGCAGCTTAAGGCTGCTGTGTTTTGTATGGTGAGTGTAGCGAACCGGAGACCCTTTTTATTGGAAACGAGGCATTTAATCTTACTCCTCACGCGTGACAACGCATCGGCATTTTGATTCGTAATCAAGGATAAAATGTAGATGTCTATGGGCCACAGCAACTTCTTACCATCAGGTGGACTGTGTGCTCGTTTGTCGTCCTTATCCTATAAAAAAAGGATTTTAAGGATTTCGTACTAGGTACTGTTTGTAAAACGAATGCTTTTAATGTTTAGTCAGTTGCATACCTTTCCCAGTGTCATCCACAAAACATTTGCAGTAAGATGGGATGCCTTAACAATGGGAATATTACTTATTTATATAGTTTTTTCCCTAATGTTATTTTATATACATTTTACTGCTAGAATAAATTAGCATATTACAATACAATACAGTAACTTTATTTCAGGCATCAAAGACTTAAAAATTAAGAACATTGGCCCATAGCAATATGTACCTTAATCTAAATGTGCCTTTTGATTAAGGTACATGATATAAAAGACATAACACTATTTAGGGAACTTTCATCTTTAGCGCGTCCCTGTATCGGCGAAACAACCCCAGAGGGCCAGAAATCGGGAGCGAGGAATGGGAATGTCTCTTTGTGTTTTAACGGAACCTGGAGTACGTAGGATTTGAAGTTCGTTGACCTATTAGACTCCAAACGCTGTAAATGTAAAGAGATTGGATCCTCGATGCGTCATCGGCTACGTACTTCCACGAAATGATATTGTTCAGATCGATTTTGATTTAAGCGAAACACTATAAGAATAATCATGCGTTACGGGAAGAGGTGAAATATCGTGGAAGTTTTATATTATGTTATATTTGGAAGTGTTATATTGCTTAGTTAGGAATGATTCATTGATGTTGAATGATCAATAACTTATGTTTTTCATTCACCTTTAATTAATGCAATGTAAGTAAATTGTACTACGCCTATAACATTTACGCAAGTGCAAGCAATAAGTTGACAAAGTTTTATCGCAATCTGATGAACGGAATGGCAGCGCATAAAAAAACGAACAAATAAAAAGTTATTTTTTATATATTAGATTTATCAAATTTATGTTTTCATTTGGTTTTCATCTACAGGTTGAAACGTCCCGTGAATGTTGTCGCATTGTTCGAAAGCCTTTACTTGGTTATGCTGAAACATGTAAAGCAGCTTTTGCAGTTGGACCAAAAGGAATGAGACCATATGCCAATTTCGCTGGGTAATACTTGGTATCAATGTGTTGAACTTATATACACAGATACTTACTTATTTATTTACATTAAGGTCGTTTATTTTTGTTCCTGCATTAATGCCGAATACAAAATTAGAACACTACACATTAGAATTTACTTTTAATATATAAATAATAATAATGTCTTTCAATCCAGTTTCGGTCACTGCGGCCAGTCTCCACGGAGAGTAGCCATCTGTTGAGGACAGGATTATAGTGGCCAAGGGTATGCGCAAGCTCAGGTGCACTCTGTATTCCCTCAGTCCCATAATCCGATGGGACGGTAATCCGACAAGACCGGAGAGAGATAAGGCGCAGAGGCTACGGTTTTACGTGCATTCCAAGGTGTGGGTTGGATAACACCGCCAACTACTTCACTCCGGGCTGCTACCGTGAATTTTTTGACATTCTGCCCGGGATTCATTTCCTCATGATCAACAACCGCGTTTACGACCAGTAACCGAGTCCAACCAAGCAGTATTAATATAATATCGTCATCTTATGTGTCTAATATTTAGTAGTATGGTGTTGACTTAAGTCTTTGATAATTTAAAATTAAAAATTTTGTACAAGCGACTTCAATATAAATTATTAAGAATAACTCAAAAACTATTAGTCATACCTTGATCGAATTTATATAAGACTGCATGTGAAGCACCAACTTTCAAATAAAAAAAGAATCTTCGAAATCGGTTCACCCAGTAAAAAGTTATAAGGTAACAGACATAAAAAAACATACAGTCGAATTAAATACCGGCTCCTTTTTGAAGTCGGTAGAAAAAAGCGGCTAAAGTTAAAATTTTACTTTAAGTACTTTTTACATCTACATACACTGACCTTCCTACACAATGGAATGTTTCCCAGAGTAATAATAAAAATATTAAATAATCACAAGTCGTGATTATTATATTCTGTAAAGACTCACATGTACCTATACTATTAACTTTTGATATAATAGTTTTATAATAAAATAATACATACATTTCAGAATATTTGCTGAATCTTCGTTATGTTTTACATATATTGGAATATGTTGTATATTTACTGTTTTGATAGCGGATTCGATTAAACAGGTTAGTAAGACTTTTTTTATAAGATGTGACAAACGAGCACACAGCGTTGCGGTGGACCATAGTCATCTACATCTATATTCGATTACGAATCAAAATGCAGATGCGTTGTCACCCTGAGGACTAAGATGGAATGCCTCGTTTCAAGTAAAAAGGGTGTCTGGTTCTCTACACTCACCATACGAAACAAAGCAGCGTTAAGCTGCTATTTTACGCTGGTATACTGTGAGAGCGTGGTCGTTCCCCGGTCGAGCCAATCTATTCGTGCTACAACCATAACATAGCTGCAGCATGGCTCTACCACGTAACGCTAATTCAAAATATTTTACAAAAGCTAACATTTAGATGTCTAACATCGCCCTCGTAAATAATATTAATAATAATAATATTCTCCAGACCGAATTTCGGTCACGGCCGAAGTACAGGATTATAGTGCACAAGTATGTGCACAAGTTCAGATGCACTGTTTCTTCTCACTCTCATTGTCCTACGACACGACCAACACGACCGGAGAGATCTAACGCAAGACTAACAGCTTAATGTGCTTTTCAATGGCATGAGGTAATACGCGTCTAATTTCCGGACTCCGGGCTACTACAGAGAATTTCTTAAGAGTAAAACCCAATAATCCAAGAAGCCTACAAGGCCCTCGTAAATACATCCTTGATGTAATCACCTAAGCAGCTGACAGGGAGGAGCGTTAAAGCTGTTGCAAGTCGATTCGTTCTACGATAAGATCGCCTATCAAAAGTTTTGTGGTAAAATCTGCCTCTTATTTATTACTAGTGCAGAGTACCAGATCCAACAGAACTACCAATACGGCGTCTCGAGCACCACCATCGCGCTTATTGTTCAGCTCGCGTTGTACGAAGTAATAACTATGCTAAATAATTCAAGCACCTTAAACATTTTTACGTGTATTGCACAGTGGCAAGGAATATAGTCCGTAAAAGTCAACACAAGTCACGCACAATTCGCGCTATTCGTTCTAGGTCTAGGATATCTACAGTTTGTAAGCCACCAACAATGGGGTCAAGATACAACAGAGGGATAGGTCAAAAGTCTTTAGGCAATTAGTTTAGACATTCTCATGGACATGCATAGATTCATTATTCTTTACCAATGAAGTCATAGATTAATTCACACTACCTAAAGTATTATTATGTTCTAATCTATATTATAATAATTGTTTTTTTTTTCAGTTATTTGACCGCTATGTCACAACAGTAGATCTGCCTGTCGAATATTACTGTTTGATTTTGCTCGTGCCACTCTGCATCATGTGCCAAATCAGATACTTAAAATGGCTAGCGCCTTTCTCATTCATAGCTAACGTTTTGCTAATCATCACGTTTGCTATATGCTTGTATTATATTTTTAAAGATGAAATTTCATTCGCCGATAAGAAAGTCGTTGGTGAGGCAGCCAGATTTCCCGTATTTCTGTCGTAAGTGAATTTTTTATTTATTTATTCCTAATTTGCATTTTTTACCTTAAAAATACATCTTCTATACATATAATAAAACTGTAAATAGCAGATGTCTGTACATTTTATATTTTTGTAATAAAAGTGATTGAGGGGTACTAAAAATAAGTAATTAAATACATTTCTACCATTTTTAGAATTTTCTGTCTGTCTGTCTGTCTGTCTGTTTGTTTGTTAACGTATCACGTATAAAGTACTAATTTATATCATAAGAATTGTTAAGGAAATTATAAAGTGTATCTTCGGGTTACATTTAGTCTTTATTTCATTAAAATCAGTTCATTCCATCAAAAGTTATGATAAATATTCTGAAGTATGGGTAGGGAAGTATAGGTACGAATTTGCTCAACGGTGGCTTTGTTTGAGTCATCAGGTGCATTTTAAACTAATATCATATCATAAATCATAGTTAAATTATGTAAAATAATGATATAATTATGTATATCTAAAACGCAGTAAACAAAAGTATTAAAAAACGTATTAAATATATTATACAAAAATATATTAACCTTATTAACTAAATCTGAAGCACAATAGTTTTCCCATTTCTTCGATAGATGGTGGTGTTGTGAAAATGTAATGCAATTGCAATGTTTTTTTTTCCTGTAGATGAGTTTTCATATTTACTGCTAATCTTTATTATATTACTCGCTGCCCTACTGCGTGTTGATAAACTCAATTTATTCTTTACCGCCGAGTACTCTATGTGGTAAATCAAATTTTAAAAGAGCTATTAACAAATCGTTGGTTTTGGCGAGAGTCAAACTTTATTTTTTGCTTACTGTGCAGGCACTGATTTATAAGTACTCTTGCGTTTTATATAATGTATCAATCGCGTCAATTAATCTCTTTTATTTTTAGAATTGATGTTAGCAGCGCCATCTCTATTTAAATATATACATATAATAAAAATGATGATAACATATTGTGTCTCTTTCTGTACATTGTATAGGTATATATTTTGGTGGCTAAAATCATTATGGGGAACTGAAAATAATTAAATAAGAACATTTTATAATTTTTAGAATTGTCTGTATGTCTAATTGTCTGTTATTATATGAACGCATCACGTCTAAAGTAAACATCTTTTATTTTCAAAGAAATCGTTAAGAAAATCATAAAGCGTATCTTCGAGTTACATTTAATCTTTGTTTTATTAAAATTGGTTAATTCTATCGAAAGTAATGATTATTATTTTGAAATGTAGGTTCGAATTTGTTCAATGGCGCCATAAAATCTCAGAAATAGTAATAAAGAAATTTGTGTGTAAAAAAAACGTTCCATAATAATTAATATATTTATACTTAAAACACAAAAAGAGATTTAAAAAGTATGTTTTCTCACACAAAGGACGTAATAGATGGAGTTGTACAAATTACAAACTTTTCTGAATTGCTGTGTTGAGATTTTTCGCCGATGAATCGTATTGAGACTTACTGAAGAAATTTGTATCCATCGAAGCCATACAACGGAATCCGACCAAAAATAAAAATTTTGTAACGAAATGTCGTGATATATTAATATACGCAAAATCAGTACTGCCACTTTAGCGCTTTGGGAACTAGATTTAGCGCTTTTTTGGAATGTATAGCGCGCATTTCGAAATTTTAGCCCTAGCTTAATCCAGCGCTTTTTGGTGTATTTAGCACACATTTCAATATTTTAGCGACTAGCGGGTTATTAACTCTTTTACAGCAGCACTGTTAGTCCACATTACCGATAATAATAATAATGACCTTTATTATTTTTTCCCACAAATAGTACATTGCAGTTTATCTTTTTCAAACATATATTTTCCACAAAACAAAGAGCATGGGAGACGAGTCCAAACTAGGATACCCTGTGCTATGGATCTCCTGGCTTCCCCTTTAGGATGATCAACTTGATTTTTTTACCGACGACTACAAGCGGGGAAACCCCTTTATTAAAGTTTTTGTTCATGGTTTTGGCAACGCATTTATTTTGCTTTATTCAGTTTCAGTCAGTTGCTTAGAGCACAGCTAAGTTAAAAGTTACTTAGAAGTTATAACACAAAGAAACTGTGTAGCAACCGCAATCAGATGCTGACATCTGAAACTAAGTTGCGAAATACATTGCACTTTAAAACAATTAATGACATTTTTATTGTTCGTACAGTACTAACTACTGTTGACAGCAATTGCCATAATTATAAGTCGATGTCCTGCGAAGTATTGATACATCAAAAAAATATTGCCAGAAAAAAAACTTAATGTTGTTTTCTTTATTATGATTATATAAAAAACACAAACTTTGTTTGTAGTTAATTTAGCACGAAATCTAGGGCTTTTTTAAAGCGCTGTTTACATGAAATCTAGCGCTTTTTGTGTTGTCCTAGAGCTGAATTAGTTTTTTTTATCTGGCAGCACTGCCCAAAAACCTTCTATTAAGAAGTAACTTTCCTTTCAGTTTTAAGCGCGTTCAGTTCCCAGTTACAGTGAGTGTGTGTTATGCGATGACCGTAAATAAAGCGCAAGGTCAAACTTTACGCGTTGTAGGAGTGTACCTCAGTACTGACTGTTTTGCACATGGCCAACTCTATGTTGCTTTTTCCCGCGTTAGTAGCCCCCGTAACCTTTTAGTGTACACCCCGGCTAAGCCTACTTCTCACGTCGTTTACACAGAAGCTCTATCATAAACGACTTAGAACTTTGATGATAATGATTTATTTAGTTACCACTCATTGATACAGTAATGAAATAAATCGTTTAATATTCTCTTACCTAAACGACAAATTGTTTATGTAAAACCTGTATACGCGAGCTACGCCGCGGGCACAGCTAGTATAGTAATATAATTGTTGTAAATTGGCGAACATTTCAAACCGAAGTCTGCCATATTTTCTTTCAATAAACAGTTTGATTAAATGGTAAACTTTTTAACATATATATATATATATTTAGAAATTTATACAATAATACGTTTCATATTGGGAAAAAGACGAAAAGCGGTGATTCGGTCAATTTACAAGACAATTTTCATAAGCTAAAACACTTTCAACATCATACTTAATATCACTGTCTTCGTTTTAGAGGTTTTTGTTTTAAAATAATCAAATTCTATTACACTGGTAAACAACTGATATTAAAAATTATATTTTTTTCCAAGTATGGTTCATTTTACAGCACAGTTATATTCGCAATGGAGGGTATTGGAATGGTAATGCCCGTTGAGAACTCCATGAAGAAACCGGAACACTTCCTTGGGTGTCCCGGAGTATTGGTGATTGCGATGTCGGTAATAATGTTGTTATACTCCATCCTGGGTCTTTTCGGATACCTCAGATACGGCGATGCTCTTAGAGGATCTATTACCCTTAATTTGCCCATTAATGATTGGTATGGCTCCTATTTTATTTTAGTTTTATAATTTAACATTTCGCAGCACTAAATATCAACTATTTTATAACAGAAGTAATAAAGCTAAGTAAACTAAAATTATTTTAGCTAAGTAAAATAAACTAATTTTGAGCATATAACTTACTTATATGAAATTAAATTCATGAAGGCACTGAATGAAAAAGAAGTTCCAATATATTGTACCGATTGAACTGGTCACATTGCTCTTAATAAAAGTGTGCTCCATGTTTTCTTGAACTATAATAGAACTCGGACTTATGGAATTGGGGTTTCATTAGAAAATACCTTTGATTTATAATTATTATTTTATTTTTATTATTTCCTTAGCAAATAAACACATATTATCATTACAGCCAGTCAAAAGTTATAAATATAAATCTCTCTTATATTTATAAAGATAAATATGGATTTTGTAAATGTATCTGGGGGCACGGCAGTGCCCTCGCCAAGTCGAGAAAAAAAGCAGCACGGCCGTACCATCCTTTTCTCAAAACAGTTCAGGCCATTTTCGAAACCCTATAACTTCGTTGTGGATAAAACTAGAAGCCTGAAGCATTTAAAATATAAAAGATTTTTAATATTGATATGGTCAATATAAGATATTGTTAGGTTAGCTAATTACGTAATAACTTAAGATAGAAGGACCCTTAAGTAGGGATTGAATAAATTAACCGACTTGGCATTACATGGATATCACAACTTTTTACGATAGAAGAACTGAGTTGCGAGACTTGTTTTCTTTTACAAGTTATGTTTTTGATGGCATCTATTATTCATATTATTTACATTTCTATCTCCTAAAATTTCTATCTCCTAAAATGAAGGAGCCAAGCCAAGCTGCAGCTATATTATGGTTGTAACACGAATAAGTCGGCTTTACCTGAGTAGGACCACGCTCTCACAGAATACCAGCGTAAAATACCAGCTTAATGCTACTGTGTTTCGTATGGTGAGTGTAGAGAACCGGAGACCCTTTTTACTGGAAAAGAGGCATTCTATCTTTATCCTCCCGGCTGACAACGCATCTGCATTTTAATTCGCAAACGAAGATAGATGTAGATGGTGGTCTGTGAAAAAAATGCCACAGCAACAGCTTAATAATGTTAAGATTTATAATGACATTGTTTTTATTGTAGCTTTGTAATAATCGTATATCATCGAAAATATAATTTAATAAAGCCATGTTATAGCTATGTAAAAACTTATTAGAAAAACAATTAAATACTAGAACACGACCGTATAATAAAGTTCCGCATTTACGCGCCAAGGTTACAAAACATTATGTTTTTGGCGTAACCGAGTAATGGTCGCAATATAGAGTATATTTAGTGCATTTTAATAATGAGATTATATATTTAATATATTTATCATATTTATTTATATTTACCAGAAAAATCAATTTTTTTTATTAGAACATAACTCATCATCGTCGCACATTACACATAGGCCTCCCCCTCCTAAATTGTTTCATGAGATTGGAAACCGCAGTTTTTTTTTATTATGCGTGGTAGAGGCATGCTGCAGCTATATTAGCAATATAGTTGTAGCACGAATGGGTCGGCTCGACCGGGGAAGGACACACGCTCTCACAGAATACCAGCGTAAAATAGCAGCTTAACACTGCTGTGTTTCGTATGGTGAGTGTAGAGAGCCGGAGACCCTTTTTACTGGATATATTACTAGGTTCCATCTTAAACCTCACGAGTGACAACGCATCTGCATTTTGATTCGGAAACGAGGATAAATGTAGATGTCTACGGGTCTCAGCAACCACTTACCATCAGGTGGACAGTGTGCTCGTTTGTCACCCGATCCTATAAAAAAAATACTGGCCATCTCCTGTCTCAGTTTCCCTCTTTTGCCTCTTACGATACCCACGAGATGATTTGGTTAGTGTATTCTCCTACGCCGTCATGTCCTATCTATACCGTAACCGTTACAGTGTGTTAAAGTCCACTGCTGAACATAGGCCACCCCCAGAAATTGAGTCATAGGACGGATATTTTGCATAGTTGCCACGCTTGACGAGCGGGTTGGCAACCGCAGTTTATTTAGACGTTATTAGGAAGACATTCTACTACTACTAGACAGGCTACTCATTACCTGATCTGTTTCCCTCTGTCGCATCTTACGACACCTACAAGATGATAATATGAGGGTAGTGGATATTGGCTGCGGGCTGTTCGAAAGAGATACCGCGGCTCCGGAACGTAAGGGCACTGAAGGAACACGGATGGTTTTTAGTCAGTAAAAGTCTGACACTCCCTTCCGCTCCACCCACAGCGAAAGGCGTCATTAGATGATTTTCCATCCGCAAAAAAAAAAAAAAAAAGGGTAGTGGATATTATACATGACACTACATATCCTTTGCGTGCCTTGATAATTTATTTAGGATGTATTCTGATTGAATCCCACATTATTACATACTCGTTGTGTCGTGCACAGACCTCTTATTTTAAGAGGGCTGACAAAACCTAATGCCATTAAGCTACTGACGCTTCGTCAATGCTAATAGCAAGGCGCGGATTGACGAAGCGAAATGACGGAAAGATCGTGGGTTCGAATCCGCCATTCGACTAATGTCGTGAACAACTTCTAACACAATCATTTTAAGCTTACCAGAAGTGGTTAAAGGGAATATTAGTAATGTTTAATAGCATTACTAGTATTTTTAAAGAAAAAAAAAATGCCAACCGCGCTGCACCCTATTGAATACGTACATATACGTAATCTAAATTTTTAAATGGATGCTTTCTTATAAACCACATTTTGCCGAACGTGACACTAATACAGATCTGCGTCTAGTTGTTCGTTTTTTTTTAAATAATGAAATAATGTACTTATTTTGTTCCCAGGCCGGCAATTTGCGCGAAGTGTTTCATAGCGCTGTCCATTTTATTAACATATCCATTGCATTTCTACGTTGTCCTTGATATTTTCACTCGATACGCAGAGCCACACATAAAAGAAAAATATAGATCAATAACACAAGTATTTGTACGAATTGCCGTCGTATGTATTTCAGGTGAGATATTAGGTACATTATATTATTAACTAGCTTTTGTAGGCGTTCCTGTGGCTCGAATCACGAGCATAAATCGAATGCAACTTTGTCTCAAAATTTCAAAGCAATCGGTGTACATTTTTATTTTAGATAGATTATAATTTTATATTATTAAACAATAATTTGAAATAATAACGATAAGAAAAATATTTAAAATATATCATACTTATGGCCAAATATTCAAACGCTACTCAGTTTTAAGAAGTCATTAAGTTTCGTGGTGTCACAAAAAAGTGATAGAGTACAGAGAGTTGAGTAGAGTACATACACTACTATATGGGCTCTGCAGCCTTAATACAATAAAAACTTAATTACGGCCAATTCTCCGTAACTTCTTTAGTCGACTGCCCGCAGGTGAGAAGTCTAGTTCTTTGTTTTGTAAGCTGCGAACGTTGTTTTCAACAATCTACGTTGCACACTGATTTTGTTTAATATGACTAAGAAAACGATGACATTATTAATGTGCGCACTTTGTCAACGTGATTTGGAGTATATTTCAGATAAAGCGCTTATTACAAAGCGCTTAAGTATGTAACTTTATTTCCCCTAAAAACAGTAACTGTCGTAAATGAAAATGCAACTGCCATTTTGCGTGGCATATTTATACCGTGCCAAACACCCGCCCGCGCCTGCGCACGCGAAACACAGCTGTGACTCTGTTTTTGTTATGAATTGCATTTTGGAGTATACATAGAAGTGTTTGTCTACAATGTATAAATAATAGATTTATATTAATTGTAATAACCCTTAATTATTTGAGAGTATTTTCACCGGTTATGTCGGATGCCAAACGGAGGCTAATATTTTTAGCTTCTCTGCATGTATGTATACGCACTTTATCCGTTCTTATGTGCGCGTATTACTCCTATAATTGGGTTAGTTAATATATCATTGGATTTTACAAATGAAATCTCAATCGATTTGTCATAGTAACACATATAACGTTAATAATATGTATCAGCATAAAATAAATAAAGCGAACTCAAAATGACAATAATTTGCAACCTAAAAAATAAGCAAATGTAATAATCTATAGCTCTGGCATTAAAACACAAAGTTAATATGTGCAATAAACCTCATATACATGTTATGTATATTTAATTATATACAATATTAAAAACTATAATAACAAAAAAAAACAGAAAACTAAAACTAGAAACTTACTTATCATATGTCCTACTCCCCGCGGTATCGTGCCAAGAACGCTGGCTGCGTTTCCCCGCTGAATGGCTATACTTAGCCTTTGAGCAAGATAAGAACCAGCCCTCTTATCACCAGCAGCAATGACCAGCCGCGGATGGAGTTCCTTTAGGAACTTCACCGCACGTGGACCCCACGGACCGATAGTCTCTACATCAAATGGCACAAATATGTAGTCATCTCTCAGAGGTGATCTCATATATTAATTAACTTATTTTCTTAATAATAATTAAACATGTCTACAATTTATTTCTTTACAGGTGGTATTGGAATCGCACTTCCAATGTTGGAACAAATCATTAACATTGTTGGCGCTTTATTTTACTCAATCTTGGGAATAATTATTCCCGGCATTATAGAAACTGTATTTCGGTGGGAGAATCTTGGAAGATATCAGTGGATTTTATGGAAAAACATCTTGATTGTTTTATTTGGTATATGCAGCATGATCTCTGGCTGTGCGGTCTCCATCTCAGACATTATTAGCATACTTAACAGTAAGACCCAATAAAATGTCTGTTACTTTATAATGGTTAAAAAACTTTCTTTATTTCATTTACATAACTTCACCAGAAGGTTGCAGAGTGATACATATGAAATGTAAGCTATTTGTATTGTGTTAAGTTTATTACCTAACTTATTTGATTAGCGGATATAATCCGGTGTAGTTAAAAATGAAAAATAGTTTACGTACCAATTAAACAGAAAGTATATAGTAAGTATACATTAATGAGCTTACTTTAAGGTGTTGCCAGCTGTAATTACTAAATTTATAAACTTAGAAAATATATTACAAATTAAGAATATTTTGACACAAATTAAACTTTATAAAAATCGCATCTGACGTGCTACAAGAGTCCCACTTAGGCTCCCTCCTGTGTAACGCTAACCTATATTTCGCGTAGTGTATATATTCTTTGTCTATATGATATATATACATGCTTGAAACATTCCACGTTCATGCTGCATGCAGATGATGAAAATATATTTTTGTAAATTAAGAATTTACATTATTGCTTGAAGCCTCAAGAAGACAGGTTGGGCCATTATTACAAAATTAATCGAATAACTGCTAATGTCAAGAAATGTTAAACTTGAACATTTACAAGCAAATTTTGAATGGTAGAGTCATTGCTGCAGCTATATTACGGTAGTAGCGCGAGTGGATCGGCTCTACCGGGGACAGACTACGTTTTTACAGAATACCAGCTTAAAATAGCAGCTCAATACTGCTGTGTTTCGTATGGTGAGTGTAGAGAACCGGAGACTTTTTTTACTGGAAACGAGACGTTCCATCTTAGTACTTAGGGGTGGCAACGCATCTGTATTTTTGATTTTTATATGAGAATAGGTGTAGATGTCTATGGGCTATAGCATCAGTTTTCTATCAGATAGAGTGTGTGCTCATTTGTCACCCTATTCTATTTAAATAAATTGTATTAATCAATAATTAAAAAGTACAGATAGTCCCACACCTTGGTATGTTGTTGTATTCTAAGCTTACATTTAGTAATCTTATTCATTATATCACAAATAAAGCATACAGAAACTTAGGTTTCATAATACGTACATGACATATATCCTGTTTTCTTAGAACATAGTAGCAACGTATGGTATCCACAATATAACAAAATAAATATTTAAAGTTCATGAACTATAACATTAAAGAGCCATATTAGACATACAAAGACAGATGTGTATGCCATAAATTTCTCTTATTAGAAGATAGAAGAAAAATGCTTGATCAAGTGACACTATTTGTCCCAGGTAAACATACTCGTCAACAACTTCGAGCTTAATGTTCCCAACAACTACCGGCATAGGTGTGACATGGACATTAAACATGATCTTTGTTTTGTCCATGTTCATCTTAAGACCTATCCGTTGGGAAACACTATTGAGGTCATTGAGCATAGTGCTTAGGTCCGCCAGCGATTCTGCCATAAGGACTATATCGTCGGCAAATCGAAGGTGAGTGATGTACTCGCCATTGATGTTGATACCGTATTCTTTCCAGTCCAGAAGCTTGAAAACATCTTCCAATGCAGCGGTAAAGTGTTTCGGGGATATGACGTAACCCTGTCTTACACCTCTCTGCAATTGGACTTAGATTTCGTACTCTGGCACGTAAGCACTTCAACACTTCGATATACCGACAGTCAACTTGGCATCGCTGAAGGGACTGCAGCACCGCCCAAATTTCGACGGAATCAAAGGCTTTCTCATAGTCCACATACGCCAGACATAGTGGCAAATTGTACTCCTCGGACTTCTGTACAATTTGCCGAAAGGTATGTATGTGGTCTATGGCGCTAAAGCCTTTTCGAAAACCGGCTTGTTCGGGAGGCTGGAAGTCGTCAAGTCTGCGCGCGAGATGATTCGTAATGACTCTCGAAAACAGCACGTAGACGCGGCTCAGAAGGGAAATCGGTCTGTAGTTCTTCAAGAGAGCGTTGTCGCCTTTCTTGAAGAACAATACCACCGCACTTCTGCTCCACGCCTCCGGTGTAATGCCACCATGGAGGACAGAATTAAAGAGCTTCTGAAGGACTTCAAGTATCGGTTTTCCGCCCGCTTTCAGAAGCTCCGCTGTAATTCCATCCTCGCCTGGGGCCTTGCCGTTTTTAAGGTGCTGGAGAGCCATTCTAATCTCGCTCAGACTGACGTCCGGGATATCATCGGAATAATGTCGGATAAGACTCGCCCTTGGATCGTTACTCTCACTTGCATGTGGCTCCAACGATGACGTGTACAGCTGCCCATAGAACCTCTCAATCTCACTCAAAATCTCAGGTGCCCCGGAAACGATACTGCCACATTCGGTCTTCAGCTCTGACAGTTGGCTCTTTCTGGCAGACAGATCTCTGGCAAAGACTTTGGAGCCTTGGTTCCGCTCGATCGCTTCTTCAATACGAGCTGTATTGAAGTTGCGTAAGTCCCGCCGCATGCATTTGGAGATCTGTCTGTTCAGTTGCCTGTATGCTGTCAAATCTGTTGAAAAATGTAGCTTCATCTCCCGTCTAACAGCCATGAGATTAAGAGTGTGATCGGAGAGTTTTTGTGTTCTTCTGCGGCGGGTCATTCACTTAAAACCTTTTTTTACAAACATGGATATCTTTACGAAATATAAAGAAACATTTATTATTATTTAATATTTAAAGCTGAAATATGCAATAAACTCTTGAATAGTTATTTATGATTAAGGTATTGAATTTGACTAAACACACATGTTTATGCCCAAATTTGGTCATGTTTACCGCCAACCAATTGTGTTCAAGCTGGCGCCTCACCCGATGGTATGTAGGTGAGATAAGCGCCGTAGGTGGGACGACCGAGCTCGACGCGTGGGCAGTCGCTCGCTCGACGCGTGGGCAGTCGCTCGACGCGTGGGCAAAAGGTCGGTGCCCTGCCAGACACGATGCATGGAGCCCGTGCGGCTCTCTTAGCGAAATTCAAGACCCGTCGTGGATATAGATAGCTAGATGAAGTACGTGCTTCTTCGTCACGTAGATATGTGAATTGTGCGATATTGAACTCGGGCGAGAGTGCGGAATAGTGTATGCGCGTCTAGTAGATATACGGTCTAGGATTCGAGCCGCGCATTCCTAGTTGAGAGCTTCTCCCGGTTAATTGTCAAGATATCATTATAATTGTGTCGGCGCGTTTAGTGCCCCTTTTGTGTTTTGATTGCCTAGTTAGATTAATTTGCGTGTCAACGAGGCATATTTTGACTCTGGCGCGACGTGTTATTCTGGTGCTAAGCCATAATTTGGTATTTTGTGACAATATATTGAAAATTTAAAAGTGATTTTTGAGCGTTATTATTAGGCATGGCCTATTTATCCTTACGAACGAAAGTTACTTCATCATCAAGACAATTTTATGAAGATAAACTTTGTTCTTTATACTATGTTATTTGGACGCATAGTTTAAGAGATAATGTAAAATTAAAATAATTCAATAATTGGCTGGGCGCGCGAACAACGCTTAAACCCTAGCCGTTATAAAATGCTTGATCTAGGTCATGTCGCGCACCTCGGACACGTGATGACGCGGGTGAAACCGCGGGGCATAGCTAGTGTTTAATATTTTTGTACCGAGAAGGAAGAGTCGCTCTTTCTTTTTTTAATTACGTATACATAATATAGGGAAACCTATAATAAAGCTTATATTATTATATTAAGGTACATAATCCGATTAGATGTAAGTATATCATTTTGTTAAAAGCTGTTGGTTTTCAGAATTAATAAATAAATAAGGAAATGATGTGATCATCTGTAATATTATTTTTGTATGTTTGTTCAAAACTTAGAATTAATAAGAATTAATAGTGGTGTAACTTGTTGGTATTCCAAATATATAAATAAATTTAGTATGTATGACTAGTAATAACTAATATAACTGACTGGTAATAACCAGTCTTAAATAATCCGTTGGTTCGTTTTATTTTTTTTATTCAACTCAAGTCAATTTTATTGCGATCGACAGGCTATAAGATATTATAAGACAAGAAAGAAATCCATGTATAATATAAAGAATGAAACAGAAAAAGTAAAAAGTTACAGCCTACTTTCGTTCTACTGCTGGGTTTAGGCCAGCTCTTATTTCTGAGAGAGTTATAGTTATGAAGCATTTAGTCCACCGCGCTGCTAAAATGCGTGTTGGAAGATTTCACATGATTTCGAAATATATTTAATCATCAGACGTGCGTATTACCTCACAATGTTTTCTAAAATCGCTAAGCAAGTCTTAAATCAGCACTTGACAGCGAGCAAGCGTGACTGTTTTTCAATCGACTTCAAATAAAGGAGGGGATCCTCAACTCGACTGTATTTTTTAAGTGTTTTTTTTTAAGTTTTTTTGACTGTGTGCTCTTGTAGCCCTTTTTTTATTAAAAATATAGTTACCACGCTTGGCAGGCGGGTTGACCATCGAATTTTTTATTATTTTTTACTTATATTGTTTTACTTTCCCTCTGTCGCCTCTAACAACACTTAAAAGGGACGATATGGGAGAGTAGTATTCTTACCCCACCACTAATTGGTTTCGGAAAACACAACTTTGGTATGAAGGTTTGAAGGTAGTTGATGGCTACTTTATCCAGTTACGTGTGTAATATGTGTATATTTTTTGTATAAACTTTTTATCTGGCACTGAAGTGCAATAACCGTGGGTTATGTCTTTCCCCTATTTACTCGTAGATGTTTTTTCACAATACCTGAATATGGTTTCACGTCATAACTTTAGAGCTCTTAAAATGTACTGCTTTAAATATATAACACTTTATTATTTTTAACCGTTTTGTCGCACTTGGGAACTACGCCGACAAACCACATTGTAGATTTTTTAAAACAGTGTCATCTCTTTTAGAAAAATATTAAAAAAGTTTAAATGTGCACAAAAATGCAAAAATTACGATTTTTATTATTAAACTTATCTGTACTTCATTTAATTTTCTAGCTTGCTAGCGATTATAGCAAAACACACATTAATCATCTACTTGAAATAGTAAAACTAAAATACACCTTTGTGACAGACAGACAGCTCGACGCGGTGCGCGGTCCTGCATGGGCGGGTTCGAGTCTTCGAATCCCGCACGGTTCAAGTATGGTCTACAAATAATTATTCCATACTTACGTTACATACTTTTAATCTTTTTTAATAAGCCATACCTTATTTAAAATTTACAATGTTGTAATCGACTTGCTACTAGAACAAACCAAGAAAATGAAAAACGTTTCATCCGACAGAAAAATTTAATATTTTATAATAAAGTACGTGTTGTTGAACGTGACGTAAGTACAGTATATCAGAAACTTTTTTTTTAATTCCAAGTCTTTTGATCTTAGCCTAAGGCCTGAGTGGAGTTGGTCTGGCGGAACATGCGGCCTATGCCACTCGCCCCTTCGCTACACACTCTTCACTCATTTTCTACTCTCACTCTACTCAGGACGTGAGTTTATCATGCACGGCGAACTCCCCGCCCTAAAGACTACGTTTTCACCAGAAATGTGCGAAGATGATATTTTCATTAACTCTGTGCAAGGGGGTAATTACTGGTAATCTAGTAGCTCGCTTAGCCACACATCCGTCCCGCTTGCATCTCTCATATCTTGTCGTATGTACAAAGACCTCGCTAAGCCCTATTCCACCAGAGATGCGCTGAGTGAGGCTAATAAAATAAAGTAATGCTATTGTTGGTATTATTGTCCATGCACAGCTTACCTTTATGCAGCTTTGGTAGAAACGTACGATCACGCCATACCGACGCCGCACGCTCCACGTACTCGTAATGCTTATCACTCAGCCCTTAGGCTTACAACGCCCATCCAAATATATTTAACCTTAATAAAACCGAATGACTTACCGACGACCAGAATACCTAACAATTGATTTGTGAATTCATTTATTTATTCATACATAACAAAATGCCTACTCTAAATATTGCCAAAGTTGCCACGCTACTTTTGAATTGTTATCACAATGCTGACGTCTCCCGTTTCATTTTCTTCTGTACTGCCTCCCACCTACGGTATGATATGAGGAAGTGGAATCTCGTAAGCCGCCACTACAAGACAACGGATTCGTGAGGGATGCGATAGAATCCTAACTGGAACATACATCGATACAGTGCAGTACACATTAGTTTATATTTGAGACTAGATTTTCCGTGATGATAAAGTTCCTACCTCAATCTCATAAAGAAGTGATATATACACTATAAACAGCAGGAACAAACACAAGCTAGAGATAGCAGTTTCCCGACTCCACAGAGTCAGTTATTCATTCATGGGGCAATGTATACACTTTGCAACAAAGTCTCAGAAGATATACAAAGTCTCTCTATAACCAAGTTTAAGTAATTTATTCAGCAAAAACTGTATAAAAGGATTATTATAATGTTTCTTGTATTTATATAAATGTTTCTTATATCTTTCTAAGCCGTTTCTTAAATGTTTTGTAACTAGATTGTACAACCTGTGTTTTTACTGTATAATAAATACACTTTGAAGATAAAAGTCTTGCTGTGTTTCTTACTGGTTCTTTATAAGACAGAGGTATTTTCCGGACCAGTAAAAAATGACTTCCGAAAAGAATTACTTGTAATTTATATTGAATAAAAATATTCTATTCTATTATTTATATGTAAGTATTTTCGGCATTGCACGTACTCTTGTAACCTTAAAATTAATAATACCGTTGAAAACATACTACTATATGCAATACTTGTGGAAAATTAAAACCTCCCCCTCTAGGCCTTCCCCAAGGAATGCCACAAAGCACGGTTCTGAGCTACATGCATCTATTGACCTCCTGCATGTCTTACCAGGTCGTCACTCCATCTAGTGGGGGGCTGCCCCACACTTCACCTACCGGTACGAGGCTGCCACTCGAGAATCTTTCTTCCCCATCGGTTGTCGGTTGAAGATCGTTGTCGCCTTTCTTAAAGAATAAGACCACCACACTTTCGCTGCACGCCTCTGAAGTAGTGCCACCATGGAATTAAACTAAATAGCTTCTGAAGGACATAAAGTACTGGTTTTCCATCCACTTTCAGAAACTTCGCTGTAATTCCATCCTCACCAAGGCTGTTTTCAAAGTGCTGGAGGGCCATTTTAATCTCGTTCAGACTGACGTCCGGAATATCATCTGAATAGTGTCAGATAAGACATGCTCTTGGATCGTTACTCACACTTTCGTGAGACTCCAACGGTGACGTGTACAGCTGCCCATAGAACCTCTCAATCTCACTCAAAATATCAGGTATCCCGGAAACGATGCTGCCATATTCGGTCTTCAGCTTTGACAGTTAGCTCTTTTTGGCAGACAGATCTCTGGCAAAGACATTGGAGCCCTGGTTCCGCTCCATCGCTTCTTCAATACAAGCTGTATTGAAGTTGTGGAAGTCCCTGTGCATGTATTTGGATATATATATATATATCTGTTCAATTGCTTGTATGCTGTCAAATTTGCTAAAGACTGCAGCTTCATTTCTCGTCTACCATCCATGAGATTAAGAGTGCGATCGGAGAGTTTTTATGTTCTTCGGAGAAGGGTCTTGCAGAACTTAGCTTCGATCGCATGGACAGTTTCCACGAGCTTGTCATTCATATCATCCACCGCGTTGCAGTCTTCGGTCAAAACAACACCATTCATTCATCAAAATTCCACTGATGAACCATAGCCCTCTCTTATAGATTGCCTCATAGGGTGGATATTTGTCACAGTTGGCACGCTTGGCTTTGTAACCGCATATCTTTAATTATTTTGAGTTATTTTCAGATAGATGCTGCTGCCCAACACCTGTCTTATCTACCTCTGTTGCCTCTTGTAACATCTACAGGATTATATGGGGTAGTGGATTTGATAGAGCACCATTTACAAATAAAAATGATTTTTATTCCAAAACTACCTGACAATACATTCGATGCAAAAATATTAAATTAAAAACAATACATTCACTGCTGTATTTAGATTTGAGGACATTCCATCGTAGCCTTTTAGGTAGACACCGCATGTATGCCTTCCTTTTTTATTACCTAAATTTAGGTGCTAGTAGCTGCTGTAAGCTTTTTACTTTCACGTGCACTGTTAACTCATTTCTCATCCTAATACAATATAAAGGCAATTTACAGCATAATAAAGCACATCCCGTTATCAACAACAATCTTCAAATCAACGTTTATAAACATAGGATACTTGCCAAAATGGCATCTGAGACGCCACTTGTTTTAAATGATACATATTTATACTCGAAGATCATTGCAACCGGTCGCGAGTATCACGCAGCACACGGTCACACAACACGAAAGATGTCGCGCGTGTCCGTATCACTTGCTTGTAAATAAAACGTAACTTACCCATAAACATAAACAAATGTAAGTAAAACATTACGAGTGACACGTGTACTTAAAAGGATTATAAATCCTACTAATCGAAAACAGAAAGGAATTTGTGTGAAAATGTCAAACAATTACAACATGAAGGAATTTAGTTCCACGTAAGTAGTGAAAATAGATTTTTATTGTCTTTAAACTCGTGCCACTAAATCGTTAGTGAACCAATTAGTAAGTGTCTCTAAAAAAATTTAGTATCGGCATTTAATAAAATTGTAGATGTTGCTTTTCTAACAGAAAATCATCTTATATCTTTTTAGAACAGTTACGCGAAAACAATATTTGAATTTAGACTGCCTTGTTCATCATCATAAATGGTACATAATTCGTCGTTGACGCCGCAAAGGGGCGAACCTCAATTTTTCAAAAATTATTACAAAAATAAGATTAATTTTCTGATGAAAAAAAGCTAGTAATCGGGGAATAATAAATGTTTTCCTTGCTCTCCTGTAATTTTTTGGAAAACTGACGTTCGCCCCTTTGCGGTGTTAACGACTTATTTTAACTAGGGATTTATTAGGCATACGATGAGGCATTCGACCCTAATCCTCAGAGTCAGAAGTGTCAACGTTTGCTTGTTGCTGGTGGTTGACCGCAAGTGACCACGGATTGTAATAACCACTTGCAATCAGGTGGACTGTATGTTCGAATATGACATAACATATTGTTAATAAAAAACTTTTAAAAAATTCTCTCACGGCTTTGCTCGAACTTTGGAAATTATGTAAATCCAGAATATTATGAAATTTTTGATTAACCAAAGACTGAAGTACCTCTTAAGGTTCCTATCTATTATTTTGATTGTTCCTCAAACACTCGTAATTATTACTCTCAAATTTTCGTTAAAAGCTACAAGAAAGATATTGAATGATAAAAGATGTTGAAATTGCTCTGTTATATAAGTCTTAAATTTTATTTATATTTAGATTTAATGTTGTGTAAACTTTATTAATGAGTAAATTCCATGGATATTGGCATTATAATATGTTCTGCACCTTTGCCAAATTCTATAATTCAGAAGATTTTATGATCAAGGAACATGACAGTAACGTCATCATATACATAGGCACATTTTAAATTTTATTCATCTGAACAGACACTCGTTAGTACTTTTAATCATACAATTCTTTACAAAATAATTATGAACAAGAAAAAGTATTAAATGCATTGCAATTTTTAAGAGATACTATAAATATACATATATATATATATATAATTTATAGTATCTCTTAAAAATTGCAATAATATCTGTTGACAAAATTACTGTAATATTCAATATTGCAACGATATTTATAAAAGTGTCGTGATTTTAAAAAGGCATAGCTGTTTAAACGACCTGAATATAGTAAAGTATGTCTGGTATAGTTGTAGCACGAATGGATCGGCTCGACCGGGGAAGGACCACGCTCTCACAGAATACCAGCGTAAAATAGTAGCTTAACGCTTCTGTATTTCTTATGATGAGTATAGAGACAGACACGGAGACCCTTTTTACTGGAGTCGAGGCATTTCATCTTAGTCCTCACGGGTGACAATGCATCTGCATTTTGATTGATAATCGAGGATAGATGTAGGTATCTATGGGCCACAGCAACTACTTGCCATGAGGTGGACTGGACTGTGTGCTCGTTTGTCACCCATATCCTAGTAAATTTTTTTAAATGTTTTGCGATTAACACCAGCACCATAGCAACAACATAAATAAAAAAAACGAGGGTCGCTCGTAAAACAGTCCGACCCGTGTGCTGCTCAGTTCCACAATCAGGTGGTTAATGTATAGGTTGACAAGTAAGGGAGAAGTAAAACTACCCTGCCTCACCCATCATTCTAACCTATACTCATCAGATAACTGTCCAAGCCACATGAACTGATTAGTCTGATGGCTATACCAATATTAAAAGATATACCAGTAGAAAAAGAGCTTCAGTACCCTCTCTGAATTTATAATTTAGAAAGTTTAAAACCGTAGAGTACCGTCAGTGTTGGTTAACCTATAACAAAATGAGTCTCACACACGCAATTTTATTCTCATTCCCAGAGTATATCCATATAATTTTTTAGAAAAATTTAAATACTGACTATAATGTGTGGAGATGCCATAGCGCAATGCATATTTTTATATGATAAGAATGACCAGCGAGCACATAGACCACCTGATGGTAAGTGACATAAGATCTACATTTATCATCGTTTGCGAATCAAAATGCAGATGCGTTGTCACCCGTGAGGACTAAGATGTAATGCCTCTTTTCCAGTAAAAAGGGTCTCCAGTTCTCTACACTTACCATACGAAACACAACAGTGTTAAACTGCTATTTTACGCTGGTATTCTGTGCGAGCGTGGTCCCGGTCGAGCCGACCCATTCGTGCTACAACTATACTACTAATATAGCTGCAGCATGGCTCTACCACGTAAAAGATGTGGAAAAGTAAAAAAAAATGCTACAAGTAGCGTCGTCATCGTCAAGTATTATGTCCATATAACAAAATGTAAGATGACCTTGTAGCTTCATTGTAAATTATTTAAGTGTCATACATATATAGGTCACGTATACTAATTGGCTGTCATTGAGGGTCATTATTACTCTTCAATTTTAGGTATCGAATCTGATAATCATTGCGAGTAAAAGCGGTCCCCGATTCTCATTACTCGCCATTCTAGCACGGCAGCATCGGTTCAATGCGTTATGCTGCTTTCTTTAATCTGTTATTCTTTGAGAGCCGAGTACTTCAACGGCCATCTCATTCGTGCTACAACTACATACTAGAGCTGATACGTGTGTTATAACATAATGTGATGAATAAATAACGAATATATTTACTCGGACGTTCAAACTGTACGAATGTGGTTATATATATAGATATCATATTTTTGTCAATGGTACTTACTAGCGACCATAGACGTATAATTACGCCAGTATATTCTAAGTCTATGCTAGTGACACACTTTTGTGACGTACTAAATACAATGGTGAATGTCATGCACACCGAACTCCCCGCCCATTAGTCACTATAGGCTACGATTTCATCATAGACGTGCGAAGGAGACTATTTTCACTATTGCTGTGCGAAGAGATCTATTTACAGATAATCAATAGCTCGCTTAGCCACACTGGCAAGTGGCAACACCACCTCGCACACATTCCTAGTATATATTTAAAACATAATGATGAATAAATAACGATTAAGTATATTCATTGACGTTCAAACTGTGCGGGTGTGATTAATTATATGTTATGGCACTTTTATGACGCATTAAATTTTCGTCTTTTTAAACTCTTGAAAACAATTTATTTGAATAAAACCGTTCTCTATCGTGACGAAATAAATGCAGCGGCTAAACGTAGTGATTATACTGTTTGGCAGCGGTTGTGAAAATATTTTTTGTTTGAATGTAAAGACAAATAATCAATATCTATAAAATAAAAAATATCATATCCCAACTGCACTATGTAATGTAAAGGCTAGCCGCATAGTGTGTAACGATTGGTCAAAACCTACTTTCCTGGTTTTCTACGAGTAGCTTTGCCGCCGCCGACCCGTTTCCTTCTTTTAGGTCTGTTTCTTTGATTTTAGAAAGCGTAGAACAGTTATTGAATGATAAGTTTTCTGACTTACATCAAAGAATGGAACTTCTAATACTAACATCAGCGAAAATAAAAACTGCCATTAAAAACTTAAAGCTACGGATTTCATGACTTTAAGAATTTACATAAGTGTATTAAAAAGTATATTCTTTCTTTTTACCCTTAACACGTAATTTACCATTGTTTTTATTTTACAACTAGCGACTCGTCTCGGCTTCGCCTGGATAGGATCTGTTAATGTAGTATTTCTTTTTTAAATTTAAGATAATCAAAGACCATTTATTTTATAAATATTTCATTTTTGCGAAAAACTTCTTCAAGTTTTTTGAATAAAATATGGCCTAGATCCCTACTGTCCGGCTATTCACAATGCTTCGGAAAGATTTCTCTCGAAAATCGTTTCGTTCGTCAAGTATTCGATTCAAATGTCACAGACTTTGTTAATCACATCTCCTCTCGTTTAGGATTCGACATTCGACACGGAAAGTTTTCCGAATGTCAGTGGGAGTGCATTAAGTGCAAATATTGAAGTAATTATATGGAAATACGTCCTATAGATAATTGCAATTAATTTATGTTACCTACCTTGTACATAAAAATCTTATTTATCTCTTTTAGTTATCGCTTTTCAAGTTTTCGCCAGCCTCAGAGCTCTCGTAAAGTTTCCGATGCGAAATGTCAAATTTATCCGAACGGCGATTGTGAATAGCGTTTATTGGTTTCATCTAAGTTGGAAGCTAACGAATCCAAGTCGATCTCCCTTTCCGAGTCGATTGTGAATATACATCCTGGTCTTGTTCTCCATTTATGTTCGTAAAGTTTCATTACAATCGGTTTGAGCCATTCCGAAGATTAGCCCGGATAGACCAACAAACAGACAGACATTCCAAAAATTTACAAATTGTTGATTATGTCTTACTAGCATCTAAAAAACCCTGAGTTTTATAGAAACTAATTATTCCAATATTACAGACAGACACTTGAATTTTATTTATAGATGTTTATATTATTTTAAAGCAATTTATTGATGTCGTTTCACTACTTTAAAGCCATACTTTTTTATTTACGTTATATTAATGCGAAAGTGTGTTAAAAGTTGGGCACACCTCAGCAATATTCGCTTCTACACTAATGACCCAGTTCAACATTTGTAAGTCACCTAACAACCAACCTTACTAATCTTTTGCATATCGCTATCTCAAAATAAATAAAATATCACTTTTTCGTTATAGAGTCGAAACAAAAGGTATTTTTGTTATTTCTCGTTTTCATTGATATAAAATAACATGTTATAATATGTAGTAAAAATAAATAAAATCATAAACAATTTTATATGACCTGGCACCGTAACTGTGACACAACTAAAAAAAATGTGTACAAAGCACTACGCGATTTGGTGATAGCTTACTATATTATTGTAACTATTAGGGTGAGGTTTCGAAAACACTCGAAAGCACTCAAAAGCTTATCATCAAATTCTCTTTTTCTAACCAAGACTCTATCCCATAACCCAACTC